TCTTTAACACTTTTCTCTTGCTGAACTCAATCGTTTACCATTTCTTCAACTCTTTCCATCTCTACTTGGTCCTCCAAGTCTTTCTTTTCCTTGTGATCTCTCTTTTATCGAACTTGTGATCTCTATAGATTCTTCTATCATTCTTCGCTTCTATCATTCAACCCCATCTCTCATCTCTATCATTTGCCTCTCCATCACCGACATCCTTAACAATCTCTCCTCCCATCCTTCCCTTCCATCATTCACCCAACACCTCTTCTCTACCTTTCCATCTCTTCTCTACCAACTCACTTCTCATTGGCCTCTTCACTGAGAGGTCGCGCGCCTCTCTTCCCGTGCATTCAGTGTGTGCGATCTACAAACCAAGAGAACTTCGGACTGGCGGTTGGCGCCACTGTGAAAACAGAAGAGCTACAAATCTGGCGCCACCGACGATCAGGAAGCACACAATTGAGCCCCACGGAGGGGATCACCCATCACTCTTTGCTACTCACCCCACTCGAGACAAACCCCCCATCAAATAGACAACTTTGTGTGTATTTGTGTGTGTGAGTGAGAGAGTGTTCTCCGCGTTCTCTTCTCTCATCTCCATTCAAACTCCATCCGCCCCACTCAATAGATCATTCAATTCACAAGCGAAAAACTCGTGTTTACCGTTTATGAATTTAGAAACAAGGTAAACGATCTACCACTGCTAACTCTGCCAATTTTGTTGTTTGTTTTTTGAATGTTTTTTTTTGAATACTTTTACAAACCGTTGCTTATCAACCACCCCAAAATTGTAGTACTATTCCTTGCTAATCAATCTGCGCAATTCAATGGCATTCAGAAACGTTAATTGATGAGTTTAAAATCAAATAAAGTAGATTAAGATAGCTTAAGCTTCAGATTTGAATGAATGATTTGTGAGAATAGTGTGAGAAAAGAGAATTAGCCGAATTTCAAACTCTAGTACAATCCCTTTCCTCGTCTAGAATCCCTTTCCTTCCAATTTGACCTTTTTGTTTCCCTCCAGCTGTCTTTTCTTTTAAAAAGTTGCTTTCTCCAGCTGTATTTCTCTAAATTGGGTCATCCCAATATCAAAAAAAACAACTTCCACAACAAAAAGAAACTCTCGAAAAGCAAGAGTTTTGTCTCAAGAAATTTCTTTCCTTTTTCCAATCCAGAGAAAACATCATTATTTCTGTTCTGATAATGATCAAGAAATGAAAATGGAAACAGAGAAACAAAAGAGAGATCTTATATTTTTTTTCTCTCTCTCTCGATTTTCATGTGTCTTTGTTTTCCCATTTCCCTCAAGCGCTTCCTTGAAATTTTCTCCGTTCCACACTATGGGAAAGTCCTCAATTTGCCGGAGGATCTCCATCCAATTTATCTCTCGAGAAATTTTTAAATACTTTTTGCAGAAAAAGATAAAAAGAGAAATTTTCGGAAAAAGTTTTCAGTTGAGTTTCAGGGAAAAAGAGGTGTAGGTGAAATTTTGTGGAATCGCTAGACAATGAGAGTTCTTTGTGGGTAGACTATGCTAGGTGAAAAGGTGTTTGGGGAAATGGGTGTGCTCTGGTCAGCTCAGCATTTCTTTCTTTTTCCTCCTTTTTCATTCACTTTTTTTTGCGTCTGTTTGTATGGCAAAGACACACAAAACATGCAAACGGTCCTCCTTTCATTCACCTACTTTTTCCTACCCTTTTCATCCATCTTTTCTCACTAAAATCACCGGCCATCTCCTTCCCCCAAAGCAGTTCACTAAACAGTTGAAATGTAACGAAACTTTCTCATTTTTCAGAAAATCAACTCTCAATGCTTTCACTCAATGCTCAACTCTCAATGCTTTCAATGTTCTTTGAGCCTAAATCTTGAAACCCTCCCTTTCTGGTGCATCTTTTATCTCTACAAATGCTTAGCGTTACTGATTTTATTCTAAAAACTCTCTTCTTTGTGTACTTTATTCAAAAGTCTCTTGAGATTTGAGATAAAAGGATTTTGAGAAATATTTCCAGAAAGATCATGTTTCCAGTTTGAACCTAAAGTACTTCTATGGACTTCTAAAGTACTAGAGTCTTCTATGAACTCAAGCCCAAGCTCAAACCCAACTAATTCACTTTAAATGATCAGCCAATTGACAATATTACTAGCCAATTGACAATACCTTACAATTAAAAGTGTTAAACTGTTAAATTCTTAAAACTGTTCAAATTTCAACTACAAAACAGTGCTTTGTTATTCGTTTTTAAAGAAAAAGGCTATCACTCACTGTCACTCAAATTTTTCAAATAATCAGGTGTTTTTTTTGAGATTTTTCACACTTTCACATTATTTTTAAGCTATTCATCTAATGGATTATTTGATTGGGACGATTTCCGCCATTTTCCCGCTCAATCGATTAGAAATAAGATTCCCTGTGCAAAAGCAAAAATGCTTTTGTTTAATTCTCTATCATTTTTTTGCGATGACTTATTCAACGTAGAAAAACATGTAAATCAAAAAATGTCTGTTAAGAAAACATATTTTTGACTTGTAAATGACGCCTCAAAATAGCATTTCGGCGATTCATTCGAAAATATTTTCTTAGAATGATTCATTTCCGTTGAAAATTACCAAAATTTTTGATGAATCAAATTGAAAAATTATCGTTTTTTTTAAAGTATTTAAGAGTTGAGAATTTTCGATGAAAGCTAAATTTATCCATTCTTTAACCTTTATCCCAATTGACCAGCACAAATCACCATTTCATTTCTTACACTTTTTTGTTTGTTTGCCATTTTTCGTTAGAGCTCATGTTTCAATTTTTTTTCGTCCATCGCTCGGACGAGCGTGAACTTCCGAAATTTGAGCCATTTTCACTCAAAAAAAATGGGAGAGCTTAGGTAAATTGAAATTGCATAGACAAATGAATTTTCGGAATCCCGACGACATTTGATGGAGTGAGAGTGGAGTTTCGAATTTGTTAACGTTGTTCTTTGGAGTGTCCTCTCTGCACAAATGGAAACACATCCCTTTTGGTACACTGATAACACTAGTAGCCGTAAACGAACCCCATCTTCACCATAGAAATTGCATAGACAAATGAATTTTCGGAATCCCGACGACATTTGATGGAGTGAGAGTGGAGTTTCGAATTTGTTAACATTGGAGTGTCCTTTCTTCTTTGGAATTCTTTGGAGTGTTCTTTCTGCACAAATGGAAACACATCCCTTTTGGTACACTGATAACACTAGTAGCCGTAAACGAACCCCATCTTCACCATTGAGGAGTTCTCATTGAGGAGCTTTGGTCAGGAGAGCTTTGATTTATCAATGCGTTTACCTGAATCAAACATAATTTATACTATACTTTGTTCATTTTTCCCGCTTAAAGCCAACAATGAGTCATTGTTGATACTTGATTCTGAACTCAAGTTTACCAACAGGAAAAAACGTTTCTAGCTGATCAAACGACAAAAGACGTAGCGTCTAGGTGTAGCTAAAACCTTAAACAATCGACTTATGAAAGATTGTGTAATGAGTTAGGTAAATGATAAGGTCAAGTATCTATTTGCACTCTTATTCTTCTTTTATTCTTCTTAATGTCCCTTTGAACATCTCATTCACAATTTGTGTCAAGAAAATCTTTTTTTTTTGTTCATTCGAATCTTTGCGAAGATTCTGTTTACCCTAAATATTCTCTTTGAGAAAAGGACTGCCGTTGGGGTCTGTGATTCGAAGAAATGTACCCCTTTCACTGACGATATTTGTTTTTCGCTTTCCCACATTCGATTCGGAGTTCATTCATTTTTCCCTTAGCAAGTCCTAGGCCAATTTCAATTCAAAAATTCTATAGCTTTAAAAACGAAAGAACATAATGATATGCTTTTCGTTAGTCGTTGTCACAACCTCTTCATTAGAGTGGATAATTTGTCTCTTGTCTCCTGGCTTTTTGCTCATTACAGTATGCCGAAATAAAAACTACGCCAGCTGAATATCTAAAGAATTTTGATCCAGTTTTGATCTGAGTCAATTTCGTAAAGTTTCTTAATTCAAAAATACCTCTGACTAAGCCAAACCCCAAAAAATTCGCAATTCCTTTTCCAATCAACTTTCAACTCGATGAAAGAAATAACCAAAGTCAAAACTATCAATGATTCATCTCCAAAAAAGTCACTCCTTTTTGATCACCAAGGATTTTTCCCTTCAAAAAGGTTCCTTGTTTTCCTTTTTTTCAAAAAGAGAATATTCCAAAAGCATTGTCCATTTTTTTTTGGTTTACGTCAGTATCATTTCTCTCTCAACTTCTTTTAGATGGATCTATCTATTTTGAAAAGTTTTTCTATTTGTTTGCCGCAAGAAGGGAAAGGCCTCAATTTGCATTTCAATCGGTTTCGCGTCCGCCTTGAAAAAGGATTGAAAAGGAGATGATCCGAGAAAGGGACAGGACATCCTTGACAACCTTGTGCGTCACTCATTCGCTCATTTCCCTTACGTGTTTCCGAATTTTGATCATTTTGACATTTTGACATTTTGACATTTTAACATTTTGTGCATACAATCGCATAGTCGTGATTGTTTTACTGATAACTTTTAGTGGATTCAAAGATAAACTAAACTATTATAGTCATTCGATCGCCCTAAATCTCCTCTTCTAAGTCTTCTACAACAATTCTAAAATCTTTGACTGAAATCTTAAATTTAAAAGTTTAAAAGCATTCAGTTCAAACGGAAACGGATCACTCAATCGTTAGCCAAGTGTTTTATTTTTATTTCCTTATTTCCCATAGCAAACTTACCTATTTTCTTAAGATTGTACATTGATCTCTTTGCCTCTCCAACTTCTTCACCAACCCTTCTATTCATTGACTTTTCAGGAGTCGTTCATTGAAAGACACACAAATCCTTACCTCACGTCCTCCTCTCCTTTCCTCCCCTTAAACTTTCCTAGAGAAATTGTTTTCCTAAAAGTTTCTCTCTACTTTCTAGTTTTTGTGTTTTCATATGATTGGTCGCAACATTGTCTCATTTCTAGAGATGTGGTGGATAGCCGTGGTGGCGGCCTGGCTAAGTGTTCCGCGGGTGGCTGTGGCTATCATTTCCACGTACAACTATGTACCACAAGGCTTAAATCCCACCTTGTACACGCCAGGATTCGAGCCAGTTGTGCATTTGGATCAAGTGGGATTTGATAATTATAGCTTTAGTAAGATTTTATAGGCAACTTTCGCCGATACAGTCTACTATCAGGATCGAGCGTTCGTGGTCGAATTCTATGCTGACTGGTAGGTTAAGAAAAGGGGTTTAAAGCTTGCTATAAGGTTAAAGGTTTGAATTTCCATAAAAATTCAGTTCTATAACAGTAAGGATTCATTGTTCATTGAAAAAAGTGACGCAAAGGGTCATATTGATCCCTCAATCCCCAAGATATTTGTGGCTTTTGAACAAAGAGAGAGAGAGAGACTAGTCAGGGATTTTCAGGCTCTTAACAGTCACTGATAGCTTTTTTGAGAGGCTGTCACTCAAGGCTTCTCTCAAAAGACACGTGATTCTCATTCAGAAGATCTCTTTAACCTCTTCCCTTTCAAACTAGACAAACATACTCCAAATCGTTGATAAACAGCTGATCTGGAAAGAGCTAGGGAGATAAAATAAAAGAATAAAAAAACTGATAGAAGAGAAATACAATCAAGTTTTTAACATTGTTAACTTTAAAGTTTAGGTGTGGTCATTGTCGAGCGTTTGCGCCGTACTTCCGAGAGTTTGCCAATCAAGTTTATCCATGGAATAAGGTGAGATTCGACTGTTTTTTGATATTAACTTTCAGGATTAACCAATTTTAATATTAAATTCACTTCCAGATTGTTACTGTTGCTGTGATCAATTGCGCTGACGCCTACAATCAGAACATTTGCCGGGAGAATGGAATCGATCACTATCCAGTGCTCAAGGTATTTGTGAAGTTTCTATTAAAATTACTGATTGTGAGTATTGAAAACAAGTTCTCTATGTGCAATAGCTATAGCAGTAATCTAATTTTTCAGTATTTCGCAAGAACAGCTCGATCGGCTGGCAATGGAATCGCATTGGAGACTCCTCATGCACCGGATGCTCTTCGAGATGGTGTACTTAGGTACGAACAAATGAAAGGGAAATCAATTGCATTGCATTTTCAGGGCTGTTCTCAACGAGTATGCTTTCAACCGTTACCCGGATTGGCCTCCATTCACTCATATCCAAGTGAATGAGTGAGTTTTATCTAGCAAGTTGATTGAGTTGATCTAATCGAGTACAAATTGATATACCTATCCAAAGCCTGTAGGCCAAGCCTAGCTTAAAGATTTGTGTGGGCCAAGTCTGCAGGAAAGCCAGGACAGGACTGACTTTTCTGGTCCTAGCCTAGCCTGGACTGGTCTGGCTTTTAGAACAGATCTATATCTTTCATTTCCAGTCGTACTACTTATGGCCAGTTGTGGGACGGTGTACCGCAAGCCGCTGAGTACATGGCAATCGTTTTTGAGACAACCGATGGACTTGGTGCTCGGGTTAGTTGAGCTTTTGATCAATAACTTGTCCCTTTTCATTCATTACAAAGAAACTCTCGAATGTATCTGTTGATTTTTCTTTCTTTTTTCTTTCTTTTTTCTGTTCAACCGCTTTTTCTTCAAATATTGTATCTATTCGGACATCCTGAGTCTCTATTTAAACAAAGGATTTGTTTGATTGACGCGTTCGTTTAACGAATCAAATTTTATGAGTTAGGAAAAGATTAAGAAATAAAATAACACAGAAAAATAATCAAATAATTTAGTTCATGCTTGACATGTTCGATCGTCGAGGACTCGTTGGCACTAAGCGAGCTCTTTACAGTTCTCCGTTGGTCAACATGTTGATGATCAAGGAATTCCCATCAGTGGCCTTGTTCAGAAGAGATCATCAACAAGCGATTTACATGTCAAGGTAGGAAAATTTGACTTTCAAATCTGAAAGCTATACTACTCATTGTCATGGAGTAAGAATTCAATTGAGAGCTGATTCTAAAGAGCTGATTCTAAAGAAGCTTTAGACTCACTAATGCTTCATTCTCGGAGATTGATCGAGCAATCGAAGGTGATCGTTGGTCACACAACAGAGCTCCACCAGCCACCTTTCCTCCATCAACAACCACCACACTTCGACCATTCACAACAACAAGAGCACCTGTTATTGATTGCTTCAAATTCCCGGATAGGTGAGGAATATACAGTAAAGAAATTTTATCCTAAAGGATACTGCAATTGTTTCAGTGCCTAGGTTAAGATTTATTCAATTTGCAAGCTTTGATTCTTACTGTAACAAGATCGGGAGATGCTGAAACTTTAGATCATTAGATAATCTATGAACAAAGTGTTTGACAAATAAACAAACGTTTATAATGTTCAGTTGTCGCGACATGTACTACGTCTCGGAAACGGACATGCTGAAAGCAATGCACACAGCTCTCTACGATGAGGTGACTTTCTAAAAACTTGAATCGTTCTAGAAAATAAAAATTCTAGGTGATTCGATCACCTGGATTCATACAAGGCGAAAACTTCACGAATCTTTTCAACTTTGTAGATTTATTGGCCAATGTGAGTTTTGTTGAGCGTTTCTCTATCTAACCAAGAATTTCAGCATTTCCCAGTGTTGTCCTTCTCAAATGAGCTCAAGCGCACGTTAAGGAAAAAGCGAACCTCGTCAACGGTAAGGATTGTAAAACTATAAAGCACTTGAAGCACTTGAGCACTTGAAGATACTTTAAAGTATCAAATTGTACTACAGTATGCCGGTCTAAAAGTATTCAGACATTAAGACTGAGTATTTCTCTTCTTGGCTGCAGCTTAAGTATCCTATTCCTTAACAAAACTATCTCTGTCCCTGGCATAGGCCATTACTATTCCAAAATATTGTAATGAACCAAAGTAAAGTATTCTTAGTGCCAGATAACCTTTTCAACATGAAATTTTAGATCCTGAAAAACTCGGAGCGTGCCCGTTTGGTGTTCACTCATTTGCGCGAATGGCTTGATTCTCGGCGATCATTCGGACACATTTCAGTTGATGAATGGAGAAGACAATTCGACACTGTTGAAGTAAAAGAAATCAATTTCCTTTTAATTTTCTTTAATCTTCTTATTCTAGCGAGTCTACGCTCATCCATTCCCCACAAATTCCTCCTGGCAACACTGCAAGGGGACATCGGCGATGTTCAGAGGGTGAGTCATGCAAGAAGTTACCAAGCATTTAGATAATATGAATATCAAAGATGATAATAATATAAATTTAGATACACCTGTGGGCTTTGGACAACTTTCCATGCACTTTCTGTGCACACTTACATTGATACGATTAAGGTTGGGTTTTTTTTTCAATTTTAAACCCTAACTTAATATTAATAACTTGTTCAACTATGAATAAAAATATAGAACTAAATCTGAAACACATAGGACTGAAAAAAAAAGATAAAAGAGCATTAAATATATCCGAAAAATCAATAGAGTTTAAAACAATCTTAAAACTAGCACAGAATTTGATAATGCATTCTATAGAGAATTCCAAAGTTGATAGAGAATTCCACAGTTCACAGAACAACTCTGAGTTCAACACATAGCGAGTTTTCAGGATGAACGAGTCGATCCACTTCGGCCACTTAAATCAATCCAAGGATGGGTTTCATCGTTTTTCGGGTGTCGAGAATGCAGAGATCACTTCATGGCAATGACAACCACGAAATTCCCGATGACAGAACGAAGGGTGCAAAACGAAAAGGAAATCATTTACAAAAAGCTGTTTAGGTTCGTCACCCACATGATATGATGACATATCTCTGGAGAGCACACAACATTGTCAATGATCGACTCAAAGGCACCACGACAGAGGACCCGCAATTCTCGAAGATGCAATTCCCGGCCCCATTCCTCTGCCCCACTTGTCATTCTGGAGGACAGTTCAGTCGAAGACAGGTATTGTGTTTTGTTGATAAGTACTCGATTGATTTTCTTATCGATTGATCCTCTCATTAACACTTTACACATAAGAGTAAACTAATATTATATTAAGCTGTCCAGAAAGTCTATGAAAAGAAACGGAAAGAGTTTCTGAACAGCTTAATAGCAATGATGAACTTTAAAACAGTTAAACTTAGAAGCAACGGATCAGGAATCGAATCCGGATCTTGTTAACTATAACAGTAAGTCTAGGTGCTAACTATAAGTCTTACAAAGTGATTCTAGTAGTCTTACAAAGTTCCTAACAAAACACACAGCAGCGCAAACTTTCGTTTAAGATTTCTAGGTTTATCCACTAGCTAAAGAGTTGAATTCTTGTTTTTGGAGTCTTCGGTGGATATAAGAAGATCATTTATAGCATTAAGTTTAGTACTAAAGTACTTGAATGACTCTTTTACAGCAAAAATTCAGGTCCGAAACTTCCTCCTCCGCTACTATGGAAGCATCAAGCCTCACAATCGACTCGCTGACAGACGTCTCGCTTTTTAAGGATAAAACTCTAATGAACGCTGAGCTTTTTCCTCTCAATTTCTCCTAGTTTTCGCTAGTCTAGTGCCTGAATTTCTTCTATTTATTCGAAATCTATTCATTGATCACTTCCTCATTTCAACTGACGTGTCCCCATTACGGTGTTTCCCCCACCACATATTATGTATGCCAAAGCGTACAAAATTGTCTCCAACTTTCAACAAATTTCATTGTACATAAGAAAAGTAGTGTTTAAGTAACGAAAATTTTCACTTTAACACTTCCAATTTCTTTTCAAAATCATTTTATCAAATTTATATTTGATGATTCTCTGAGGCAACAATTGACTTTGATTGTTTTTTTTGTTTTTTTTGTGTATTTCTTTTTATGCCAAGGATCAACTTACGGGTATTAGTTGAATAAGGCCCTTTTTTTTTATTCTCAAAATTTCCATTATCGATTCTATCAGCAAATTTATGAAAGAATCATTGAATTCATGCTCAAATCAGAGAAGAAATCCTGTCATTAGCGCATCAGATCAATCAATGCTCTTTTTGGTTTATGATTTTCTAAAACGTGTCAACTTTTGAAAGATATTGTAATCTTACCGCAATAACATTGTGAATGTATGACTAAAAGCACGCAGACTTTGTAGCAAAGCTTGCAGTTGCCACTTTTTAGCAAACCATCAACCAATCAGCCCATCCCACCTCTTTATTGTGCCATTTCTATTTTGTAGTTGATTTGTTTAATCCTTTTGTGCTTTTTTTTTGATCTCATTTGTCCATCCCTTTTCCCTTTTTTTCCTTTTTGATAGTCTCTGATTTGAGCATCGATTTCCAAAGCATTTGCTAAATTGTACAGCAAATTTTTTCTTTTCTTGTGAATTGAATTGAGTTGTGATTCATTCCGTATCAAATATATCAATACTTTATCTACATTTGAATCTAAAATATATGGCAATTTGGAATCATTTCAAAGAGCTACAACTTGCAAAGATCTGTAACCGGTGCGCTTTGGAGGATCAACTTTTGAACCTGAAGAGGAAATGATTGGATGAAATGAAATATGTGAACTTCTCTAAACTTTGGATGATCAGCTCCATCAAGGAGCCCCAAAATGACACTTTCACTCGTTGTCAGCACCGCGCCCGCTTGTTTCATTTGCTTGAAAGCATACTTTCTGAATTTTGGAGTAATGTACTTTGTATAATGCTATGAAAAGAATAACAATGAATCCGTTCCCTTTTCCCATTTCTCGATTACCTGCTTTCTTGTGTTCGACTGCTCGTCCCGTCAACAACCACATGAACATTTATATTGTTTTCAAGCAAATCAAGTGCTGTTTGCAAGATGCAGACCTGAGTAATCAGTCTTCAAAAGAATTCTTCAAAATACCACTTCAAAATCTACCTTACATGTGATTCAATTCCAAAAAGAATGACATTCCTCTTGTCTTTCACATGTTGAAGAACCGGATCGATACACATAGAAAACAAAAAAAAAGGAATGAAATAGGAAAAAATTCAACTTACCTTAACTTTCTCGTACACAGAAATATCGGGTCGATCTCTGATGCCGAGTTCGGGCACGAAACGGCCAAGACCCTTTGGATAGTGTTCAGTGGCGATAGTCTGCAAAGTTTATGATTGGTAAATCTGTTTATGATTGATAACATTAAGTACTTCTTCGGTAAGTGCATCAAATACAAATCGTAAATACTCTTTCACTTTTTTTAGCGAAAGAAAGCCACCTTAATGTCAAGGATCTTTGCCGCATCGATCAACCGTCGTCCAACTATGCAAATCTCGGGGAAGAATTTGATTTGATGTCTGTAAGGGAAAAATTATAGCTTTAGCTTTCTTGAACCTGAATTTCTCTTGAAGATCGCAAACGAAAAGCACCGAGTTTTGGGGTTTGAGACGGCTGATACGACAAGCCATGCTGAAGGCTGATTGAACTTTCAACTAATAAATAGATTTGATTATGTTTATGATGTGTTTATGATAGAGAGCTGAAGGTAATCATGACAAAAAGTGCTAGAAAAAGAACTTTTCTAATCAACTAAAACAAGCTGATAGCTGATTGACGCATTCTAGCGAACAATAATGGTTAACAATGATCGTTTACAAGTCTAAAAAGAAGTAAAAGCTCTGCCTTGGTCAAATAGACCAAAGAGATCAGCTGAGTAAAAAAAAAAGGGTTCAACTCATCAATCACAGCTGTTTCAGGAACATTTCCGTTCACTACTTGGGCATACAATTTGCGGTGGAGTGAAACTTTTGCATAGATAACTGTCTTGCTATATATCAGTGTTGCTATATATCATCTATTGGGTTGGAGAATGATCCGCCCACAAAGGGACTTTTGCACACAAAGCCTTCTTTAAACATATGTTTGGTTTCACAAAAGGATCCACTATTTCTCTACAAAATGACTTTTGAGAGATTCCACAAAGCTTTTCTTTCGTGGAGTTTATGAACTTCCAAACGCAGCTGGTTAAAATGGCAAAGAGTCCGACTCATCATTTGAACAGTTTCTTTCACATAAACCTTCTTTGGTGTTTATATAAAAAAGATAGAGCACATTCAATTACTTAAGTTGCCAAATTTCAGGAAGATCCCACCAATGGTTTTTTCTAGATGACAGTTTGTGTTTTTGGAAAAAATGGCTTTTTCTTGAGCGGAGGCGCTGTTTGAATTTTCTTTTAAATGTCATTTTGTAGAGAATTAGTTAACCATTCTACTGATATCAAACGCATATTATTTGACGAAGTCGAATAGAAGTTTTAGACATTTTTTTGATTTTCGGCGCCGACTCATTCTCCCCAACCCAATAAAAGCTGCAATTCTCCTCTCCAAGGTGGGCTAAGTTTATCTAAAAGTTTAGACCAGTAAACCCGAGTTCCAGTTGATAGACTCAATAAAATGAATAGCTCCAATTGATTCCCCGTCTCCGAAAACTTTTGGGTGCAAATTTAAAGCTGAATATTTTTTTGGCCATCTAGGAAGCAAAAGAGAAATTCTAATATAATCGAATCGAATTAGATCAATTTAAAGGTTGTTTTTGGCATCATTATGCTCAAATTTTCCTTAAATTTGACTATAATTTTAATATGAATTCTACATCCTGTTAACCATTGTGTTGCTTAAACAACAGCTAAACCAATAGTGAGAGGAAAGTGCGATCTGATCATCTAATCAGATCGTTCTGAACATCTAATCCGATCGTTCTGAACATCTGATCAATCCGAGTTTTGTCCTTTCTTGCAATGATGATAAAACTTTATATCTTTCAATTCATGCATAAGTGAATACAAAATTGCGTAGTGAAAAAGTCGAATATCACAACGAGTCTATAAATAAACAGAGAAAAGAGTCAGAAGTCTTTTGGCAAGTCAGCCATAAATTGTCGACATGAAAATTGAACTGAAAAATTGGTATGGCGCAAATGATAGAGGAAATGAAGGAAAATGCAAATCACAGATTGAACGAAAAAAAGGCATTAAAGAGACCGTATTGGGATTCAGCAGTTAGAGCATTTAAAGAGGCAATAAACTGGGATTCTTGATCAAAGTGTTTTCTCTAAAAGATGCGTTTCTAAGAAAGTGAAAGCTATCGTACCTCAGCTACGGTAACCAGCTATTTTTTCTTAGCCTTCATCTGCTTCAAATCGATGAAAATAGGCTAATTAAGCTATTTTCACCGAAATACCAGGATTACGATAGATCTTTTCTAGAGCATTTTTTAGAAAACACATCAATTAAGAGACACAGTCACAACGATCATCTTTAATTGGGATACATTATTAGCACGCAAGAGGTATAGCACCAGTAAGATAGATTAGCACACAAAATGAGGAGATGAATAAGCTTGGAGCTTGGATGCCAGCTTGGATGAATAAGTAAATATCGTAGTTACCATAATATGGAGAGTAGGATTGCTTCCAGCGCACTATTCCTTGAACGTTTTCCTTTATGAAGTGAGGTTTTGAGGGGTGAAAGACACGACGTTTTGAGAATTGAATTCGGAAATTTGCACTAACGACATCTGGATGTAAAGGATATTGTTCATGAATGGATTGAAGAGCGATCGGATCATCATTGCCATCAAATGAGGACATCATTGCCTGAAAATTTACATCTTAGTGCTGTAAGGCTCTAATAACAAGTGATGGTCGGTTAGTATCTGATAATAGCCTTGTTGTACTCAACCTTAGTTGAACAGCTATCAATCAAGAAATACGGGTTGTAAAGCTCTAAAATCAGGCTGTCCAAAAAAGTCTTTTCGTTCCTTTAGTTGAGGTAACTTTAGTTAAACAGTACTGATCAATTCTTACCGTAAATATTCGTAACAGCACTCGTCTCCCGATTGAGATCAACAGCTCTCTGTGGCAGACTGCTGTTGTCAACCGATTGTGAGGCTGATGAACGGCTCATTCTCAGCATTCCCGAACCAGCTGATGATCTGAAATTGATTGGACAATATAGCCGATAGCCGATAGCCGGTTTAGAGTGTCATTCAAGGACTACCTAGCAGACAGTGTTGGTCTGGAGATGGAGCGAGAAGAGGTTGATGGGCTTGGTTGATTGGAAGATCCTTTCAATCTAAAGATTCCATTTGCAAAGCTATTTTCGCAGTTATTACTTCGAATTTTGCACAAGAGCGAGCATTTTTTGAACAGCTTGCGGACTATCGATGCCGAATTTCGATCCACCCGGTAGCATTATGCGTTTGTGATCGGAGCCGGTGGAATGGGAAGAAATCGAAGATGGAGTTGGGGAAGGAGCTCGTCTAGAAAGAGGCAACAATGGGTGGGTTTACTTTGCTTCTGTTTTTGACTAATAGTAAGCTTTATGTATAGATCTAGCAAGTCTAAGCGGATAAGCAAACAATGCAAATTAACATAGAGTTTTAGCCGTCTTTTTTATTTGTTCCAACCTCATTTTTGGAGCATTCACTGACGGTTCGGCTTCAATGGAGAGATTATCGAGATCCGTCTCATTCTCGACAACATTCAGCCCACCAAGATAGGCTTTCACTTTCCTTACCATCAGTGCTTGTTCGTAGATCTGAAATTTTGATTAAAAGCTTAAAATCGAATAGAAAGAAGTTTAAAAAGTGAAATTTGTGAACCAAAAAAACCCTTTACACAAGTGAATGACTACCTCGATCCATTCGAACTTTCTCTAAATCTAGGTAAAAAAATTGCTTGACTTTAGCACCACTTCTTAGAATTTACTTTGACTTTAGCATCACTTCTTAGCTTCAAAATTCCCCCAAACTACCTTTTTCCTTGGTTGTCCAGTCCTTCCTCCTTTCCGCATCGTTGCCACTGTGCCCGTTCCCCCATCGAAAGCATTCATGTAAAGCAATGCATCATTGATGGTCGTTCCACTCTGAAATGGCAGCAAGTGAGTGTTTGCTTTGACTTTTTATCCAATAGTTATCCAATAGTAGTCAACTATCTATAAGAGATATCAAAAACAACAAAAGCTATGGCCTAGCACCGGCTGCTGGATCTAGATCAGCACCGGCTGCTGGATCTAGATCAGCACCGGCTGCTGGATCTAGATCAGCACCGGCTGCTGGATCTAGATCAGCACCGGCTGCTGGATCTAGATCAGCACCGGCTGCCGGATCTAGATCAGCACCAGCTGCTGGATCTAGATCAGCACCGGCTGCTGGATCCAGTACCAGATGGACTAAATGTTTTAGACTTGTACTCCACTGTTACTAGGCCTAAAAGCAATCTTTTAACAAAGTCCAACTTTTGATTTAAAGAATTCGGGCATTCAAACGATTCTCACCCTTTCCGCCATGCTTCCAATCTCGTAGGGTGCAGAGCTGAGCTTGTTCACTCGTCGCACTTCTCTCGCGATCATGCGCAATTTCTCAAAGTTGACCAGCTTCTCGGTATACGTCGGATTCCCTTCATGCAGAAATGTTAGATCCTAAACTTCTTTGAAAATTGTTCCCCAAATCCAGCTTAAACCTTTTTAATGACTGGGAAAATCGGGATCACTGGCGGTTCCGGGCTGACGGTTGATAGATGTTGACGATATCGGGACATATTCCTAGATGGATCGATCAATGCATGGATTTCTTCGAGGAAACGAGCATACTTTCTGAAATCTTTGAAATCCAAAACTTTGTGGCTGAAATAAGTACCCTCCAACACGTTCCCACGAATTGTGCAATCGTCGAACGGCCGGTTTATCCAATCCGGAAACGATCGCGAACATTGAGTTGAAATTGCGCAAATCTCGACAACATCTAAAACTTTTATAGAAAGATTTACTGTTTTTTTAAAGGTTTTTTTCGCTACCTTGCCACTTTGATGAACTTTTTGATCAATTTCGAGCGTCGTTGTGTGCTTTTCTCTCGGCAAACTTCTGTCGCCACCCACCACATTTCCCGGTTGAACACCCGCTCGAATTCGTCTAACTTTGGCCATCCATATCTATAAATTCTTTAGCTTTTAACAATAAGATAAAAAGATTAACGTTTTACTGTATAGTTGCCTTTGTTTCAACAGTATCTAGCTTAACATTTCAAAGTAAGTTTTGATGTCTCTTTTAAAAGATTGTGGGAGATTTGATACGCGCCCCGCCCCTTTGCCATTGGAAATCCAACTTTGAGCTCAAATATCTTGATTTTGGGGTGTCCAATTTAAATAGTTTTTGTACCAATCGACAGAGAAAGACTGGGCGCATCCAATGATTACAAGAATATTTAAATTGAACAACCCAAAGCCAAGATATTTGAGTTCAAAGTTAGATTGTCAATGGAAAAAGGGGCGCGACGGGTATGAAATGTCCGAGAACCTTTTAAAAAGATTATTATTGCTTTTAACAATGCCAAGACAAAGACTAAATTGAAAACTTTCTTTTTAGAATCTTAATCCTATCAACTATATCCTTTTACCTGCTCTCGAGCTTGAAAAGTGAGTCGATGTATTCGGTGGGTTCGATGGAGGCAAAAATCGAGAAGTCTTGTAGCGTGAGTTGAGCGGCGACAACCTCAAATGTTAGAGCATAAATATTTACTTTATAAGCAAGGTAAACAAATGATATTTCTTAATTTGCCATAAGAAAAAGCCTTTATTATTCACCTGCGCATTCAAAGACAATATTTGTGCTTGTGCCTCTTTCATGATATCCGGCGCGAGCTCATCGGGCACTAGCGGCTCACTGCGGTTGTTGTTCTTCAGATAATATCTGAAAATATTGAAATCTCATACGTTCTACGATCATTTTGTATTGAAATCTTAAAATCTTTATCTTAAATCTTTAATTGAAATCTTAAAATTACCTGCTATTCAACGCAATCCTTTCGGCCAAATTCTCCATTTGCGGAGGCAATCGGCGCTGTTTAATTACAAGGGGATTTTTCGAGGTCTGAAATTTGGAATATGTTTAATTTTCAGTTTTCTCCTCTCAAACCATGCTTTCGTTTGTGTGATTCTCGCAGACGGTCACCTCGCAAAGTGCCCATTCTAGACTCCCCTCTGTTGTCATGCCGAATTCCTAAACAATTTCGATTTCAAAGAAACAATTTCTGTGAACCAGTTACCTGAAGTGCCAATTGGACAACATTTTGAGCGGTTGTTTCTTTGAAGATTGGTAAATACTTGAAGGTTTGATCGCCGCGATAGATTTTCAGGACGTGTTCCGGAGAGTCACTCTTCACCGGGCCATAGTAGTGAGAGATTGTGTTCGCTAGATCCGGGTTCGACTTTGATCCACGCAATCCCTCATTTGACAAAGATGACTAGAGATTGAACGTTTGAAGGTAAATGGAATAGGACTGTCAATCAAGGGTATCTTGAATGAATCTATTGGGTTGTCCAGTTATGAATGCGCGTTTTTACTATTTTGTAAATTTCTCAAGATATCGAACAGATGTAGATGAGTGTTATATATCATTCGAAAGCTGAAGAATTTGTCAATTTCCCAAAATGTAGAGATCTCCTCTACATTTTGGAATAAAAAAGAATTCATTCAACTTTTTGGGAAATTGACTGCACAAAGGGAGAGGTCGTTTTCGAAAAAAAACCATTTCAGCTTAGCTATTCCTCAAGTTTTATGGTGTAAAATAACCGCCCAGAAAAGTAAAGATGCTCTGAAATTGTTATATTTTAAAAAAAGTTGTATAGATATATCTATTGGCCAAACATCAAACGGTTAACTCAATTTGAGCGGAGCCAAAACTTGATCCAAAGGCACCCTTCCATTTTTTGGCCACCTCTTCTTCTGTGCAGTCAATTTGCCCAAAAGCTCGACAAATTCAAAAGCTTTTTATATCAAAATGTAGAGGAGATCTTCAGCTTTCGAATAATACTCATATATATCTTTTTCTTGATTTCGGTATCTTGAGAAATTTACAAAATAGTAAAAAAACACGCATTCATAACTGGACAACCCAATAGATTCATTCAAGATACCCTTGATTGATTGAATCTAGTAATTGTTTAAGCATTAAGCCATGTGTTTATTGGCACAAGTATAAAGCAAGACCAACAAAAAAACTCACCGAATCAGAAACATCACTATCCTTTGTAGCCCGGATTACTGTGAACAATTTGTCCATTAGACCTTTGTTTCCTGAATCTTTTCATTCAAATCTTTCCATTCAAATCTTTCCATTCAAATCTTTTCATTCAAATCTTTCCATTCAAATCTTTTCATTCAAATCTTTTCATTTATATCTTTTCATTTAAAGAATGACCGATTCTCGCTAAAACCTCCGCTATTTTTTAACAGAATGTAGAATTTTTAGAAAAATACAGCCAAATTTTGGGCGGGAATAGAGAGAATCATTTCCTAATTTCAGCCTAATTCAACCTAATTCAGACTTTCCTTCAACAATAAATCTATCAAACAAACCCAGATTCTTCTGCTTGTTGTTTGGTAGTTGAGGGGTGGGCGAGCTTTTCACCGGAATAACACTCGGGATGCTCGGTCTTGATTGAATCGCTCCACTCAACGGTCTCGTTTTCATCTTTGAATCATTCCCCTTATCCGGCTTTTGAATCATTTCCTAATTTATAAGCTATTTATCTATTTTTATCTAGGCGACAAACCTTGAATCCTAATATATTGTTCTTTACAGTGATCTTCAGGGTTATACTCCCTTTGAGCAGTTCGATGGCTCGTTGAAGGGTCACATATTTCAGAGTTTGATCGTTCAATTCTGGAATTTGAGACGTAAATCATAAAAATCAAGATTTCCTTTTAGTTTTTAGACTTACCAATGATCTCATCAGCTCTTTTTATTCCCGCTTTTTCAGCAGCTGAATCAGGCAAAACATCGGAGACGAAAATGCCGTAACCGGTCTCTTTTCCGCCCATTATCGTGAATTGCATTGGTTCATCCTGAAAATTTTGTTCAAATTTAATATCTTGCGCAAATTCAGTTCGAAAATCCCAAAATACTGACCTTGTTGAAGCGAGTATACGTGATGCAACGTGATCTCGCCTTCACACTGCAAGCAATGTTGAGCAGCGATTGCTGGGAGTGCATTTGGTCTCGTTCCAATGCCTGAACAAGTTCTTTTATCGAGTTCGCGATTTTCTGTACTTGTTCAAATCTTTCCAGTAAGCGCATCATTTCTCCATTTGTCTCGAAATCGTTGTAATGATTGTTCACCCAGAAGAGAACGATTCGTGCGACGCGATCCCGGTATTGCGGTTCGGCAAACCAGAGCATGAGTTTCTCGAAAATGTGAACGGGATCGTGGATGAAGACTCTGAAAGGCGAATGGGTAAATACAGTAGGAAATTAATGGAAAAGAAGTAAATGGATGTTTTGTGTAGCTTTTGTGTAGCTTAGAAAAGCCGGTGTACTCATAAATGAAACTAGATACAGAATGAGGGCTCAAGTTTACTGTCACTCAAGCATTTGGCTCAAGTTTACTGTCACTTTTAAGAATTACGGCTAAGGATTGCTTTCGATCTTCAATCAGGAATCTAGAATGGGAAATCTAGGAGTAGCCAAAAATCTATTCAATATCTCTACACCGAATTATACTGTAACCCACCTGTATGTCAACAAGAAATCATCGATATAATTCGCATCGACTTGTCCATCTCGTTCCTCGACGAGATGTGAGATCAATTTATCGGGCTGAATGCAATTGCTTTATTATTTTTGCTTCTACCATCGCTTACTTTTGCCTTTATAAGCACCAATCCAACTTGTGCCCCAATTGCTCGTTTTTCTGTTTCGGAAACAACTTCTCCCGTTACATCATCTCTGCCTCTTTCAATGTGTTCACCTAAATTTTAGAAAATAAGCTCACTTTAATATAGCTACCGTAAATACTGTGCTAGTACCCCACCCCCATAATGACGGTGCGGAGTGTTGCGTAGTCTAGCTTTGAACGAGTTTTTCTCGACACTGGTTTATGCTACAATGCGCGCTTAGGTATCAAAAAATAGCTGGAATTTAGGGCTATTTTTTGCTACCAAAGACACATTTTTTGAAAGTACGAGCGCTTTGAAAAAAATGAAATACGAAAAAACTTTTGCGACTACGCGACTGTACGAGGGGGTTGGGGTACTATTACAGTATTTACGGTAGGTATCTACGTAATGTAAACTTTGAGATTGGTTTATGGATGGATGGTGAGTAAAATTTTTAAAAATGATATCAACTTGTCAATAACCAATTTGATAGAAGCTACATTGAGATTGAAATTCGTTTTACAAACCAAAAGTAGACATTGACTTCTTATCATACAACTGTTTTGTTAAAAGTACCGTAAATACTGTACTAGTACCCCACCCCCATAATGACGATGCGGAGTGTTGCGTAGTCTAGCTTTGAACGAGTTTTTCTCGACACTGGTTCATGCTACAATGCGCGCTTAGGTATCAAAAAATAGCTGAGATTCAGGGCTATTTTTTGATACCAAAGACGCATTTCTTGAAAGTACGGGCGCTTTGAAAAAAATGAAATACTAAAAAACTTTTGCGACTAGGCGACTGTACGAGGGGGGTGGGGTACTATTACAGTATTTACGGTAATTTCTTAAAGAGTATTTGCTTTCTATACTTTAAAATTTGAGTGTTATAGTGTTCAGTTCTGAAAAAAACGAAATCAAAGACAATTTGCTGATAGAAAAGAATCTTGAATCTTAAAAGAAGGAAAAGTTTGAAGGATTGACGAGCTGAACGGGCTGAATCAACATAGAAAAAACTTAGAGAAATTGGCACACTTGGAAATTGAATCAGCGAACTGTTTTAATGTTTACTGTCACTGTTGTTTTGGTGCCAATATACTGCAAAAAAGCAAAAGAAACTCTCACCAATTGTGCTCATAATTGAGCAGAAATCCCGATGCTCAACAAGCACGAATTCGCAATCATCGACCATCGTTCTCATGTCTCCCATATGATATTGCAACTGGAATCTGTTTTTCACAAAAATCAGCATCACCTTGTTCTACTGTATTTATCGGCTCACAGCCAAACGAATCGCCAAGCTTAAACTCGAGCCTTTCTCCATTTGGTTTGATCACTTCAACACAACCATTCACGATGACCGCCCTGGATGATTGAATTCGATGATTCAACCCTTTCAACAACAAACCATGCATCAATTTTCTCATTGTTTTGCATGACAATCGTTCCAGCATCAGGCACAACAGCGAAAACCATCTGAATGAGAACAATGTTGATGCATTTGAGAAAAACTATTTAAGGTACACATTTAAGGTACCCTAAAGTCTCGAGTATAAGTTCTGCCTTAATTTAGATTCGCTTTAATTGCTTTGAATTTCTTTTTGTTGGGTTTTTATACATTTTTATTGTTATATAAACTTTTATTATTGTTCTTGGAGCGCGGGATACTACAGGGTGACAGCCTATCACCATTGCTATTTGTTATGTGCATGGATACATCCAGACGATAGTGTTGAAGAAGACGCTGGAAAGCATCTCTTTCGACCGTCGACGTGGACTTTGGCCGGATGAAGAGGCCAGGGAGGGATCCATAAGACTGAGCACCGGAGAGGAGCAGGGCGGACGCGCCGAGCCACGCCCGGAGCAACAAATAACAGCATAAAATTGCTATAACCCTCAATAAATTTACTTCTATTAATGTTCTTAAAAAGCAAAAAAGTTATGCTGCAGCGGGGTTCGAACCCTCGACACACCGCACCGGAGACAGCCGTCAATTTGCATGCGAAAACCAAACAGAACTTATACTCGTGACTTTAGGGTATGATTAGAAAACTTAAAAATCTTCAAAATCAACAATTTCAGAGTCGAAACTACCTTCAAGCACAGTTGTCTCTTGATCGATACGGGCAAGGAGGAGAAAGCGCTCATGTGTTGCATGAAATCCAAGAGAATAGCCACATCATCTGTGCTCCGTTCGCCAGGCTCTTTTTCAAGACATTCACGCACAGAATCCTAGATTTGACCATATTACAATGACTTGTTTCCAACTAACTTTTAAATCATGAAGACCATCATGTGACGGAACACTCTCATCATCTTCATCCTCACTCGCATCCCCTTCAGCCGTCCCAGCGCCAGCACCCCAAAATTCATCTCCTTCAGTTGTTGAAGAAGATGCTGTGCTAAATTGGCAATTTTGCTTTGTGATAAAAGTGACATTTTAATTCTTCAGTCAGCCAGTAAGACAGTACATTGGATAGAGAAAGATAGCTTTTATATCTGCACTTGTTGAGGAGTTAAAGTTAATGAGTTTTTGATTATTAGCAGTAGATAAAAATGAGCTAAAGATCTTAAATATAATATGCAAATATTTCAATGTATTTTATTTTGATGATTTGAATTTTCCTTGATCCTTTTATCCAAACTTTACCTTCTGATCCGTGGCTTTCTACCCGAACTGCCAACACTTCCCATCGATCCGCTTTTCTCCCTTCGATGCTTCACTCTCACCAATGTGTCCTCATCACCAGCTCCATTTACAAAAACCTATAAAGTTTTAGATAAATACTTTACTATTAGGTATTTTACAATAGTATTTGTTCTCGAAAAACCCACTTGAGTTGTTGGATACGATGTCGACGGAGTGTCAATGGGGAAATCCATCGGATAAGTTCTAAATTTGCGAGAAATTTCAATTCAATCTCGCGCTATTTACTTAGCAAAAGGAGTCAGCAAAAGTGAGATAGGACAGTTTTGACTGCCCAAACTACTTACTGTTTACTAATGGCGTTCTCTGCAGAAAATCGTCTAGAGAAAGAGGCTTTAATCGTAGTAGAATCAAGTTTTTTCTGTTATTTTATTCTGCTTTTCTGTCAGCTTCTAACATTCTTATGCTAGCTGGTTAACATTTTTAAACTGTCAGTCATTCTAAACTGTCAGTCATCCTAAACTGTCAGTCATCCTAAATCCTCCTAAATTACTAGAAACACTCCTGACACCCAAAATCCTGCCTTAAGAACAATTCTGAGTGATTGAGTTTTCCAGTTTCCTTCTCTCAAACCTTGGCAATCCCCTTGGTGGTCTAGGAGGAATTGGTTGTCGTGGTGGTCGAGGTGGGGGCATTGGTGGAACGACAAAAGTCTCTGTTTGTGGAGCTGGTGGTGGAGGGGCGACTCGTCGACGATTTTGTAAAGGAATCGATGTGTCAGCTCCAAGATCCGGATAATCAATCTAGAATCGGATCGAGTGCTAATCTAGATATTTCTTTTTCTAAAACATACCACAATCATCTCACTTTGTTGCAAGCAAATGCAATCAGTGGCCCGGCGAAAGTTGGTGCCGTTGCGCTTGCCAAAGCTGAAGATGCAATAGATTCTTGAAAGTTAGATTTTCAAGGACTTTTGTACTTAAGATAGATAAGCTTTTTAAGAAATTCAAGGATATTTTGGATTCTAGAATTCAAAGGATTCTAGAATTCAAGGATTCTAGAATTCAAGGATTCTGGAATTCAAGGATTCTGGAATTCAAGGATTCTGGAATTCAAGAATTCAAGGATTCTAGAATTCAAGAATTCAAGGATTTTAGATTCAAGGATTTTAGATTCAAGGAATCTAGAATTCAAGGATTCTAATCAGGCAACAAGGATTTAGATTCAAGGTTTTAGATTCAAGGAATCTGACAAGGATCAGAATCAAGGTCAAGATCAAGATCTGGATTCAAGGATTAAGACATTTTTGAGATATTTAATTTCACTTTCACTTACGAAATAACTTTTGATCTTTTAAATTTTGCAATAGCTTTCTCCGGAGAAATGAATGGATGAATTGAGATGATTATCTTCTTCAGACTCCTATCAACATTTGAATTTCGAGATTGATTTGACTGAGCAATTTCTGCCTGCATTTCAATCAGCTCAGCTTCAAATGAGTCAAGAATTTTCGGGGTTATGCTTGTTTTTCTCTCAGCCATTTCTGCTCCAAAGTATGGCACGTAAATGTTTTGTTTGCACGCCTCTTCGGGATGAGAATCATTGGTGGTAGTGTTGGGTTGATTAGCACTAGGAATTGGCTCTTCTTCAAACGTTTTCCCCTCGAAGCCCTGTCCACCTTTCTCGTGGGAAAAAGTAAAAGAAATCTTGTTCATTATTATTCGAATCAATCGATAATTCCTCAATTCCTTCAGAAATATCTGATAACGGTACATAATAATGTTGATAATCGTTCGGAAATCTCCGTTTTTGTTGAGATTTTCTCATTTTTCTTGATGGTTTCATTTTTTTCAGAGAAAATGTTACAGGAATTGTTGGTAAGGGTAAACTAGGAGCTGGGGGAATTGATGGGATTGATTTGATCGTGAATGGAGCAAATGTGGTTGAATGGGTTGGTGGTGAAGGGATGGGAGTGCTGGGGAGTGGTGGTAGATAGGGAACAGGCATTCAGATTAGATAATCAGTAAAGATGTTCAATTCAATAAAATGTGATAGACGTGATAGTGATAGACGAATAGTTGATTAGCTTCTTGTGGCACTTGAAAATACTCAAACTAGGCTATCCTTTTTGACGGAAAGAGAACGAGATTTCTCTCTCTCATTTTTTTGGGAATCCGGATACCCAAAAAAGACAAAGTGTTTAGAAAATTGGGGCAAGTGGAGAAAAAGGATTATCAGTTTTACGAATTCTTTAGATTAATGATCGGATTAATGATAGGATTAATGATCGGATTAATGATTTGATTGGAAAACAAAACAGACCATCCATACGGCAATAAAATGTGGCGTTCGATTAAAACGGATCCTGACAATAGAATGTACCAACACGTTGCAGATTGATCTTTTCTAAAATTTGCTGTTTGAAATTTGCTGCTTGATCCTGCTTGATCTGCTGCTTGATCCTTCTTTTGCTTCTTTAAAGTTTATATTACTAAAATTTACTACTATAAGTCTAACTATAGTAAGTCAAGCTAAAATTTACGCCTTCCTAGAGTGGGACAAATGCGACCTTTTTTTGCGCACCTGGACATTTGCGCACCTTTTTTTTGCTGGAAAAGGCCTTAGGAAAGGTCGTAGAGCTTCAAAAATGTTTCCATATAATGGGAATCGTATGCGTAGATTCCGAATTTTGACAAATCAGACCTCGCTGACACGTCAAATTTGGGCTAAAAGGCAAAAACTACGCAACTTAACGCTTTTCCGCATTTGTCCCACTCCCCGCCTTCCTGAATATTTTGGGTTAAAACAAATTGTTTTTGTTTTAACGCCTTGTTTAAACGCCTTGTTTTTGATTAAATGTATTTTTTTTGAATATTAATATGAATAGCTATGCTTACTATTGTCTAATACTGACAAGTTGTTGCAAGGATTTCAGTAGAAAACTATACAGACAAATTTGTAAAGTATTAGACTGTTCAGAAAGTCTTTTTGTTTCTTTTCATACTTTCATACACTACAAAGTATTATTATCTTGTTTACCGGAAAAGAATATGATGTGCCCGATGTCGTTCATATCTGGCTGTTCGACAGATCGCCTTCAGGGGACCCTGATAAAGATTCGAGAACATGTCCAGCTGCCGAAGCTGCTCGAAAATGTTGCGAACATCCTAAAGTTGCTTGCCTGTTGCAAGGATTTCAGTAGAAAATTATACAGACAAATTTGTAAAGTATTAGACTGTTCAGAAAGTCTTTTTGTTTCTTTTCATTGAAAATAACACCAATTAGCCAATGGTTGTTTTATTAGAAAGGTACAAAAAAACTTTCTGTAAAAGCTTAATAGTTATTCAATGCAGCAATGATCTACTTCGCATTACTTTCAACAAAAATCCTATCTCAAATCACCTCATCCGATCGTCGATGCGGCTCTTTGATGAGTGACTCGTAGAAACGAGCATCATTCATTGGGTCCATGTAGCTCAAAGGAGTTGTTTGACATATGGTGTTGACAACTAAAAAAAATGCAATAGGAGAGACGGGGTGTGAAAGAACAACGCGTAACCAATAAGGAATGCGGGAGAGGAAAAGGCGATCAATCGATTATTTGCGTCAAAAAGAAGAAGAGGAGTGGAAGAAGAAAGAAAAGAAAAAGGAAGAAAGAGTGGGCAGTCGGCCAGCTCTCCTCTTCATCTCTTCTCCTCTTCACATCAACCATTGCGCACAAAGCAAACGTTTAAACAGAAAAGACAGAAAAGAAGATCGGTCGGACGGTCGAAAAGCTTTTCCCTCTTCATCCACTTCACAGCATTCTATTACAAGTTTAGAAAAAAAGGAGGAAGACACTCCAGATGGGTATTGTTTTGGAAGATAGTAGAAAGTTTCAGATCTCGGTAGAAGAGAATCGAAGAGATTCTGGATACAGAAATTTGACAAGGCTGAGAACTTTAGAATTCTGAATAGATTCTACAAAAGATCCAGCAATAGCATGATGCTTTTTTTACTTAGGTATAAAATGAATCCTGCACGAATTTCTTTATCTCTTCAAAATCAAAAGAAAAAAAGGAAATTGAATCAATCATTACAAGAAGTAGTTGGATAAGTTTACGTAAAAACAGCTTAGGTCTGACAGTTTGACACTCCAGTTTGACACTTAGAAAATCAAAGATTCGTCGACACAATAAAGATCAGACTTTTTAAGATATTAGCTTTTTTTTCAATTAAAGGTTCATTGATACTTCTAAAATATTTCTATGGATTTTATAATATGGATTATAAAATGGATTACCGTATTTTCTCTAATAGTGGTGCACCCCAGCGAGCCGAGTTGACGACTATTTTACGGTTTCCAAGCTTTTGCAGAAGCTCAACCCTCTAATCCCCCACTAGATCTCATCGTCAGCTACATTTTCCGACCCCACATCGATAGGATCTGATAAGCGGTTCTCGAGATTTCGAGCAATTTCGATTTCGAGCATTCGAGCAAAAGCGACGCTTAGGGTGCACTACTATTAGAGAGAATAAGGTATTCTGTATTTTCTCTAATTGTATATTTTCTCTCCCCCCCTCTGCCCGGCCGCGCCGAGTTGACGACTATTTTACAGTTCCCAAGCTTTCGCAGAAGCTCAACACTCAAATCCCCCACCAGATCTCATCGTCAGCTACATTTTCCGACCCCACATCGATAGGTTCTGATAAGCGGTTCTCGAGATTTCGTGCAATTTAGGCGACGCTCATGGTGCCCTACTATTAAAGAAAATACGGTATAAAATCCATAGCTGCAAATGGGTGATAATTTAGATGACAGAAATTCGCTGAATCTTTAACAGTTTAAGTATTTATCTTTAGAGATCTATTAGAGGATTTTTCCAGGATTTCAGGGACCAAAAATGGTTGAAGATTTACAAATTAGAGCACTTAGAGTATGTAAGTTTATTTAAAGAAAACTATTCAGTATCAGAAAATGACAGAAAATAACATAAAGATATTTAGTTGGTGGACTGAAAAGGCCCGATTAATCAAGAATAAGAAATTTCCTGTGTAAAAGTACAAAATCTTCTGTAAAAGTTTTAAAGATAAAGTTTTTTTAAAGTTCAATCGAGTGCAAAGAATGGTGTTCAAGTTTCTTTGAAGGGAGTGTAAACGATTGGGTTGTTTTATGGGCTACACGGGAATACCCTTGCCTATAAAAATGCTAAAGATGATGATCGGCTTTCAAATGGAATCCTTTCCCGCCTCACGCACTTCGGGACCATTTTTCCCTCTATTATACCGTATGCAGACGATAACCATTCATTTTTTGAGCTCCTCAGCTCCTCAGCTCTAGTTTTATACCATTTAAGCATTAAATTTATAAAGAAAAAACATCACTTTAATGTTTATTAAGCTTTGAATTTGTTCTGAATTCTTTTTTAAGCTTAAAATCTCATCCTTGAACCCTTTAAATGTTGTCTTGTTCGTCTAAGAGTTCTTTTTTTTTCAGAAAAACTCTCAAACATGGAGCAAATGAAATTGCAAGGGACCCTTGAGGGCCACAATGGATGGGTTACCCAAATTGCAACCACTACTCGTGATGATAGAACAACTGTTATCTCGTCTTCTCGAGGTAAAATTCAATAGTATCTTAGCTACAGTTTCTTAGCCTTTTGGAGAATCAATTAAGAAATTACAAGTTACAAAATCCAAGTTTTACCAATAAGATCTCAGAATTAATCTCAAAATTCTAGACAAGACCATCATCGTCTGGGATGTCGACAACTCGACTGTGAACGAGACTGGACAAGTCGGACGCCCATTGAAATCGGTTAGTGATTCAGAGTCAAGATGATAAATTGAAAATAGAAATGAAATGTTTAACTTATTCATATCATTTCAGCTCCACGGACATGGACATTTCGTTTCCGATGTCGTCATCTCATCCGATGGACAGTTCGCCCTCTCCGGCTCGTGGGACAAGAGCTTGCGTCTTTGGGACTTGAACACGTACGTTGAAATGAATTACAGAATTGAGCCTTTAACTAGGAAATTTCACTTTCATAGACTGGGTTCCATTTCTGAACAATTTGAACATCAAGTTCAAGAGTCGTTTAAAGAAGAAAAATCACTTTTGCCTGGTAGTTTTATCTGTTCAAAATTCACGATTTAGTGGCGCCTCGACTCGTCGTTTCGCTTCGCACGAGAAAGATGTTTTATCCGTCGCTTTCTCCGCTGATAACCGCCAAATCGTTTCTGGATCGCGCGATCGTACCATCAAGCTCTGGAACACTCTTGCTCAATGCAAGTTCACCATTCAGGTATATTTCTAGATCAAAGAATAGTGTCTGTTTGTCCGTCTGTACAGGCTTTTTCTCAGCCGTTTTTGAGCCCGTTTCTCAGCACTACGGGGGGTCGAACCCGAATCGTGTGGGCCGTAGACAAGCGCGCTCCTGACTGCGCCACGCGACAATTAGGACTAGACGGGTTTTTCGGCTCACCAAGAAATGTTACCGTGTTACTTCTTTTTTAGAAAGATTGCCGTTAGGCGGATTTTTTTGTCAAGAAATGTCAAGAAATGTTACCGTACTACTTCTTTTTTTTAGGAGGATTGCCACACTGACTGGGTGTCCAACGTCCGCTTCTCTCCAAACGTCCGTGACCCAGTGATCGTTTCAGCTGGCTGGGACAAAGTGGTGAAAGTGTGGAACCTCGGAAATTGCCGTCTGAAGACCAACCACATCGGGCACACCGGCTACATCAACACAGTGACCGTTTCGCCTGATGGCTCACTCTGCGCGTCGGGTGGTCGCGACGGAAATGCGATGCTCTGGGACTTGAACGAGGGAAAACATTTGTACACCCTCAACGGAAGTGGAACGATCAACGCATTGGCCTTCTCGCCAAACCGATACTGGCTCTGTGCCGCTGTTGGACCGGTGGTCAAGGTGAGTCTTTGATTGGGATTTAAAACAAAAAATGACAATAGAGATTTAGAAAACAGGATCTTGATGGGTCTTGATGACTTAATGATGACAATTTTAGATCTGGGATTTGGAAGACAAGCGCGCAATTGAAGAGCTCAAGCCTGAGGTTTCTGGATCGCGTGGATCGGCTGCTCCACAATGTATTTCCCTTTCGTGGTCTCAAGATGGACAAACACTCTTCGCTGGTTACACTGATAACGTTATTCGAGTCTGGCAGGTTTCCGTCAGAAAATAAAATTCTCTATTTGTTGATTTTTTTGAATAAACTTGTTGGTACAGAAATTTTCTCTTTCCAAATGCAAATCAAGTTACACAAACTGATTTATTTATGGTTCTAGTAGAATTTATGAAAGTTTATTTCCTCTTAGAATGTCTTGGCCAGCAAGAAATGAGATGATTAGTTTCTCGATTCGTTTCGCCGGAGCTGCATTGCTTTCATGGTTGACCGCTCGTTACATGATTCGTTATTTAGGTAAAGTTTGATAATTAATATATTGAATTACTCTGGTATAGATCCAAATTACGAAAGCAAAGAAGAAAACAAGAAACGAGTGGCCAAATTGTTTCACGAATTGGGAATCGAGGAAGTGATCGAGTTGAACGAACACGAGTTAAAGATCGCCACACAGTTCGTTTCTTCGCAAGAATCCGGAGCCGATTGGGACGAGATTGGAGGGTAAATTTTGGTCTATAGAATAGAAAAATATCATATAAAACTTCGATTAACATTAAAAAAAATAAGAAATTCTTTAAGATACGAAGATCTGATCACTGAATTGAAAGATCGAGTGATTCTTCCATTGAAGATCGCCTCAGAGACAAGGAGCTCTCTTTTGTCACCACCAAAAGGTAAAAAGTTGATCAGTGGAAACAAAAACAGTTTCAAAAGCTCTAGAGTTAACATTTAGCAAGCATTTAGAGACTTTGAATTCAAAAAGTTTTGAAATAAAACAAAGCTCTTAATCTAAACCCATTCATTTTCATTTTCAGGTGTTCTCCTTTACGGACCACCAGGCTGTGGAAAGACTTTACTAGCAAAAGCAGTGGCAAAATCTTCTGGCTGCAGGTAAGAAAAAGATTTTATACACATGAATGATGCAGTACAAAAACATGGTATATTTTACACAAACACAACCCTTAAGCCATAAAAGTAGAGAAGAAAAAGCCATATGAGAACGAAAAAGCAATAATCTAGCCGGGATTGAACCCTTGAGATCTAGCCGGGATTGAGCCCCCTAAGATACATGGCTTTCGGGCATGACGGCCAAATCATCTTCGAATTAGAATTAGGTAGACAAATTAGGTAAACAAATTAGATAGAAAAAAAATTCTTCTCGTCTCAAAAGCTCTTCCCCAGATTCATCAACTTGCAAGTGTCAAATCTGACCGACAAATGGTATGGAGAATCTCAAAAATTGGCAGCCGCTGTGTTCTCTGTTGCGCAAAAGTTTCAACCATGTATCATATTTATCGATGAAATCGGTGAGTTAAAAGGGAAATTTTGGGGAAATACTTCAATTCTTGGATAATTTCAGATTCATTTCTCCGCGATCGACAAGCACACGATCATGAAGGTAAAGTTTTTTTTGACAAAAAGAGTCGATTTTTGTCAATTTTCAATCATTTTTTTAAGCACTGGTTAATGCTAAAGATTTATGTTATATCTCAGAAAATTACCCATTCTCTCTACTTTAATTTGATACCAAAGCGGGCAGAAACAAAAGTACTGGTGTCAAGATATAAGCGTTTGTTTGAGAGTAAACTTGGACTACACAACGCTCCTATGGGGAGCCGTTCTATTAAAGCTTTTATATATTATAGTATACGGTAGTGCTTACCTAGTATAATACTATAAAGGAGTTATATTGTAGTCCTTAAAAATCTGCTTACAATGTGAATTCAGCAACTGCGATGATGAAAGCGCAATTTATGCAACTGTGGGACGGCTTTGCGACCTCAACGGATCAGGTACAGTAATGTTAACTTTAGAACATATTTTATACCGTTTAAATTGTACTGTATCGTACTGTATTATCGTAAATATTCATATTGACGATGTGATTTAAGATTATTGTCATGGGAGCCACCAATCGACCCGGTGATGTCGATGCGGCTATACTTCGAAGAATGAGCGCAAAGTGGGACTTTAAAAGCTAAAACGTCTGAGCTAAAACCATTAAATTTCAGATTCTTTGTTTCATTACCGGATTTGAAACAACGAGAAGGGATTCTGCAAGTAAATTTTGTATAAGTTCGAAAAACATTCGAAGTAAAGGTGATTTTGCGAGAAGAAGTTGTTAATGATGACGCCGATTTATCAGCAATCGCAGCTGCAGCCGAGAATCTGTCGGGATCCGATTTGAAAGAGGTTTTGTTTTTACAATATAATACTCTGACCACTTTATAGCATAAACTGCTAGCTTTATAACAAAGCTTTACAGGTTTGTCGATTGGCCGTTTTGAATCGAGCAAAGGAGACTCTATCAGCGGGAAATGAGTTGGACAATCAAGTATGCTCTTTTAAAACTTCATTAGTCTTGCTTAGCTGTCATCTTCCATGGCCGACTGGCTAAGAGCCATGTATCTGAGTCGGGAGGTCAATGGTTCAACCCCATCGGCTAGATTATTGGTTCTTTTTTCCCATTTATATATACGTACGTACTCATCCTTCGTTTCAGGGTCCATTAACGTCAAATCACCTGGTGACAGCCCTTCGAAAGTACTGTATTTCTCACAAAGTGATGATCGGAGATCATTCATTAGACTAATAAATCGCAATTTCGATATTATCTTGCTAGGTTTCTTCTAGAAATTACTCTTAGTTATTACCCTTAGCTACAGTACTGGACAATGAAATATGATATTTGAAAAACGATCGTCACTTTCGCGCGTCTGTAACTCCCTTGTCTTTGAGTTTAAACTATTAGTGTTATACATTTTCTGAAAGCTCTTTTCAAGGGCTACACAATGATAATATTAACATTTAGAAATACGGCAAAGACAAGGGAGTTACAGACGCGCGAAAGTAACGATCTTTTTTCAAATATTATATTTCATTGTCCAGTAGTGTACATCGACGAGTTCATTTGCTTTGTACTTGATTACGGGTTCAAATTGGTTGATGATAAATAAATTGTTTGTCACGAAAGATAAGTTTTTCAAAATAACAAAATATACTCTGAAAGAGTTCAAATAAAAGCACGCTTTGTCAGAAGGGAATTGAATCAAGTATTTCTTTGAGGGACTACAATTCCATCATTTATCCACCAAATTTGATGCCCTTTTTATGACCCCGTGCTCGGGAGTGTGCCAGAAGACGAGTGATTCTGTATAAAGAATTATGTATATGTCATGTTCTGAATATAAACTAATAGATAAGCTTATCAGGAAACCGATATCGGGGAAAATTTCGTTTTTGGAGTTGATATGGTACCGTTAAAACGTGAATAATTGGTCAAAAAGCTTATTTTGTTATTTTGAAGTGGTCAAAATGCTTAAGCAGCAAGTCTAACAAGTCTAGCACGTCTAGCAAGTCAAGTCATATATCTAGAAAGTCTACAAGTATCTTTTAGATCAATCAATCATCTTTAGATCTAATTAATTCAGATTTAGAAAAGCTTAAAGGAAGGTTTGAATGGTTTGAATTAGGACTGATTCTTACTAAAACCAAATTATCGACAGGTGAATGTAGTAATATAATTTTTGATGAAGTTTTATGTAGAAATGAATGATAAATGGATTTCAAAGTTTCAAAATCGTCAAATCTAAACGTCCATCTTCCCAGTTATTGAGAGTGTCACCTGCATACTTCAGTAATTGTTTTCCCAGGATTTTACGCGTTTGAAAGGGACGAGGCTTTCGACTCTGTGTGGCCGTGCAAGAATGATCCATCATTTTGGCGCCTGCCACATTTCTTTTTCTAGAGCCTGAGCCTATTCTTTTCAATGATCAGATCCTTAGTTCTTTTGTGTCCAACAACTGTCCAACAACCCTCCATTGACACTTAATTTCCCCGATCAGATCCCCACTATTTTATGGCTTTCAATTATCGAAGATTAACTTCATAAATCTTGCCTTATTCCGATCGTTTTATAAAATGATTTTTACTCCAATTTAATCAAAAATTAACTCTACTATGATATCTGTAGTGAAAAAGAACTTGTTTTTGAAAAAAGTTTTTCTCAAAATCGTTTAGCCTTTACATCAGCCGAAAACTAGTTTTTTTGCCTACAAGAGCTACTTCAACACAGCAAGATTTTCAGATTTTCAATAATTTTTATGTGATTGTTTCAAAGAGCTTGATTATGAGGGGGTGATGAAAGGGAAAAGATGAAAAAGTGGAGGGAGGAGACTCTCGAGTGACGCGATGAGGTGTCGACACTTCGGCCATTGTCGATCTCTCTCCAGTCTCTCTTCATCGGCTTCTTTTGCTGTGTGTCGAGTGGTGGAGGGCAGAATTCTTTCTTTTTCTTATCCTCTTCATATTCATGATTATGTGTGTTGAGCTTAACGCGGATAGCGACAAAGCATTGTCCTTAGCCTCTCGATGTCGATTGCTTGCTTGCATGTGTTCAGATGTTTGAAACCAAGTCATCAGCATTGCCACTCCAACAAATTCCTTTCTTTTTCCTTCATTCTTTAGATAAGATTGTTGATATAGGAATGAAATATTCGGTATTAAATATTGAGTTATAGCTAATCCATCAAGCTAATCCATATCAGAACCAGTTCTAACTCTTCACTTAGCTTTTCAAAGCATTCTCGTCATTCCAAAATGATTAAGAGTTTTACTTACTGATTTTTAATCTCCGTTTCTAAATTTTTAGACTAATAGCTTATTGAATTTGCAATTGAAGCTACAATTTTTGTTTCACAAGTCATATCTCGGATGTTTACCGAGGTGAATGACAGGTCCTTTTGGTCCCTTCTCTCTTTTGCAAGATCACCACCTTACTTATCCACTAATGAATTCAAATTCCTAGTTTTATTTTAAACTTTATCAATATTTAGTTTACTATGCTCTACAGCACTTAACTTTTCAAGTAAAACAAGAAAATGCCGAACATTCGACCCGTTTACCTTGTTCCATCAACAAATCAGGTAATTCGAAAAAGGACGTATTAAAAACTTTACTCTTTAAATGTCTGTAGTTATATAACTCTTTAAATGTCTGTAGATATATGGATATTTATTGGATCTGTATTGGATCTGTAAAGATTACAGCAATTTCCAGGTTGTGATCGGCCCACCTCTGCCCGCTCCTTACCCAACTCTATATTTTCATCCTCCAAATGCCAAAGGGAGACCGGGAAGCTTTGGACAATTGAAAAAGGTTTCAAGAAAAATATTCGATTTTCCAGAATGTCTTTTCCTTTCTTTTCATACTTTCTTTGAAAAATAATAAATTCAAAGTAAAATAAAGAGCTTTTTATCAGACAGCCTTTTATCAGACAGCTTTTTATCAGACCCCCTTTTAGACTAAATCCAAAGAAGCCGAGGATATTTTGGGAATCAAAAAGCAACGCGATAGTGCCGAGCTTCTTGCTGAATACGGATTGCCCAATGAAGTCAATCGGTGAGTGAAACGTTTTTTTTTAAATTGTACGCTGTTTTTTCAACTTAAAGAAAGCGATCAAATCATGGAGAGCGCCTCATTGCCGTTAAAATTTACAGTCAGCCGCTGGGATGGGCGGTGGTTCTTTTTCGGGAAATTGATGCGCCGCTTAAAACAGAGATTGAAAGGGGAATTAGTGCTTGAATCAATTGAATTGAAAAGGGATGGCCTTGAAAGTTTTCGAGATTTCTGATTCAATCTTTTGCTCGGTATTGTCGAATCAAAAAAAAAAGAAAGTACTCCGGCTTATTTTAATAATTCGTTTAAGATTGAAGATTTATAGCTTTACATCGGTCCATTTGAAAGTGATTGTGTTCATTATAAGTCATTTTATCTCTCTTTCAAATGACATCATTGTTTAATTTGCATATTCTTTCCAATTCGTAGACTCTTATAAGATGAAATGATCCTTTTTCCCGCTTGGATGAGGTTGGATGAGTGTCTGCTTCCGGTGCCTATTGAGGCGCTGTTTGCCAGACTGGAGACACTTCCAATAAGAAAAAGAAAGAAAGGAGACTGCTTTTTCCTTCATTCACACACCTAATATTCAAATTACGTATCTAAATATAGTTATGCAAAACTAGATTAGTACTACATTTGACGGAAAGACAAAGATAGAAAAATGATCGAAAAATGATCAATAAAAATGATTATCTCTAATGGATTCACCGACCTCAAAAACCCTCGGGACAAATTTACAGCTAAATATCTTCTTTTTTCAGCGATCTACAAAGCAAAAGAGAGATTCAAATAGAATTGAATTGAGTTAGATCGATCCCATCATTGTAGATCCCAGCATTTCCATTTCATTACAGTAAAATAACGAGAATGTAAGGAACAGTTCTTTTTTTCAACTTTTCAACGGTTTAAGCTATCATATAGTTTGGATATAAACAAACCGTGGATAAAGGGAAAGATTGGAGTCTTCTCTTTTTGTTTGATTTCGCCTTAATCCCCTTTCCCACTTCGATTTCCGGGCAATCTTCAGACACTTGAGAGTGTTGATCGAAACGAATTCGAGATCATGATTGAAAAAGAACAAAAAGAGGGCCAATCATTTGCTTTTCATCTAGCTTTTTTTTCCGGATTGCCGAAGTATCGTTTCTTTTGAAGGATTACCGGATTTGAAACTGATCGGTTTGTAAAGTTTTTTTTGTTCGATATTCGTTCGATGCTTGCCAATCGAACGACCTCTAGTAGTTTTAGTTTTCAAAGGGGATTTCGGCGGTGTGGGAATTTGTGAGGATTGAGTAAATACTGTGTGTTCTCCAAATACAAGCGATCTCCTTTTTCAGGGGTGAATTCTCTTGTAGAGACTCGATTCGATCCTCTTTTCTGGATCTTCAGAGATCATCCCGTTCCCTCCTTTTCCTCAACAACAGGGAATATCCAGGTCTTACAAGCCTTCTCCTGTTCCCCTTTTCCCTAAAAATCCTTATATTTGCAACAGTTTCCTTTTTTTAGTCTCTTCAGAAATGATGTTTGAAGTGGCTCAGTTTAAACGTCAGCCTTTAAAGTCTCAATTTTCATTAGCCTTTGATTTTTGAGCTCAATTTTGAATTTGAAATAGCATTTGTATTTACTTTTTACACTTTCTAAATCATTTAAAACATTTCAAAATGATTCGAGCATTCGACCATTCAAAAATCATCTAAAGAAGTTGTGTTTTGATTCAATAGACTATCTTTAGAATCGATAAAGGTAGACCCAATTTTCAAAAAGCCTAATAGGTCTCACTAAAAAGACGCCAGGCTAACCATTTATATTCAATATCCCACGCTTAATGTCTTTTTTTTCTTCTCAAGCGATTTTCGATAAAACTTCGTTGAGCTGATAAATTCGAAAAGTTCGCCTGAGTGCTTTGAGAGCCCAATTCTATTATATTCTAACAACCGAAAATCTAGCGATCTTTACACGTTTATCTTTTTTTTCTGTTAGATTTTAAAACTTAAAATATTCATATGAATCATCTAATAGTTAGTGCCCGAATCTCTCATGGAAAAGGTGTGAGTGGGGCCATATAGAAAAGAAGAGAGAAAGGGGATTTCCATTCATTTCTCTCTTTGATCCATCCGGGAGAGATCTATTCGATTGAATGAGAGATTGAGGAGAGAAATCAGAGAAAGAGAAGGACTGTTTGTGTGCCCACACACACACATTCGATGAATTCGTTGATTCGACGATTTCGATTTTCATCTCATCAAGTCTTGTTCATTTTTTTTGCATTTTGAAATCACGAAACTTCTAGAACTTTTAGAACTTCAACTACACGATTGCGACAAAATATTATATTTCGATAGGTTTGCTATTCTTTCTGGATCATGAATCGATTCCCGATAATCAATTTTCCTTAAAAACATTTGAAATCTTTCATCTTTGAACTGTAGAAACTTTACCATAAGATACTCTATTTACTCTAATAGTAGTGCACCATGAGCGTCGCCTAAGTTGCATGAAATCTCGAGAACCGCTTATCAGAACCTATCGATGTGGGGTCGGAAAATGTAGCTGACGATGAGATCTAGTGGGGGATTTGTGTGTTGAGCTTCTGTGAAAACTTTTAAAGCCGTAAAATATTCACCAACTCGGCTCGCCGGGGTGCATTACTATTAGAGAAAATACGGTAAATTAAACAGAAAGATAAAGATAAATTCCTTTTCAGCAATCCCATGTACACCTACAGACGGCCCGCCTTTGGATCACAGCAAAGGATGAATGGGTAAGTGATTGAATTAAATTGATTGAATTAAATTGATTGAATTCAAAAACATCATTTTAAATCTATTAAAGTAAATGTTGTTTTCCTTAAACCTTGACCCTTTTCTTTTTCCTTGTTGATTACTTGTAATCCTTTTTATGGCATCGACAAATAGCGCTCAAAGCGTTTACAATGAAGGTGAAGGTGGATAGGGTTTTAGGTTTAGGTATTTGTTAATCTCAAAAGATGTTAAACATGTTAATCTGACGCATTTCTAAATCTCTCATTTTTATTCTAATAAGAATGTAGTTTAAGAATGTGAAAAACCAATTAAACACAGCCAACCGGCTTTTCTGTAAAACCAAGAAAAACTCTAGTCCTAGCTCTGGATCTGACTCTGCTATTTTCTACCATTTTTGTCTTTTTATATTATTTTACTTAAGTCAAATTTTTTTCTCTTTCTTTTCATGAAGTTATCTAAGTTACAAGCCTATCAATATACCGTAATAATTCTAATAGAAGACCAGTCTCTAATAGAAGACCATCCCAATAGAACCACCCCCTTGGAATCGAGCCTTTAAAACTCTGTCAAGTAGAATGAAAGATTTGGCCAGATAGTAATATGCCCCGGCAGTAAAATTGACGAAAAAAAAAATTATTTTTTTAAATTATCTCCCTCCCCCCCCCCATTTTTTTTTTTTTTTTTCTCTGGGGCCCGGGCAAGAAAATAATTTCACTTTTAGATTTTGTTTTGGGGGGCACTTTTTTTTGGGTGCCATCTTTATCGGTACAAGCGTTCGTCCCCTCCTCCCACTCGATTTCCATTGATAACAGTTTATTTGCCGTTATGCCCTCAAGGGCAAACATCGAAAGCTTCATGCTCTGCATTCCATTTAAATCTTCGCTTTTATTTTGTTATTATTTCAAATACATTTTATTTTCAAATGCTTTAGTTTTCATTTTGATTTTTTTCCCCGATCAAGCGCTAAATGATGCATGACTAGGAATAGCTGCCGCTAGCAATTTGACACAAATCACCGGATATAGATGAGATGAATTGGTTGAAGTGTTGGGGATAAACATAGAGGGAAATAGAAAGAGACTAGATTTCGATATAGAGGGACAGCCTGCAATAACCCGAATGCCCTCAAAAGGCGATAATCATTGTGTATGAGAAAAGAGAAAGGTTAGGTTGGATTGAGGGGAAAAGGGAAAGGTGAGGGACATTGGGGGATACAACCCCGCTAGAGGTAGATAACTAGCAATGTTGGAGGAGAATGGGTAGACCCCTTCACAGCAAGAGCATTCCTGAATTTGCTCAAATTTCATAACTGACTATGAGCTTTATCCCTTTTTCCAGTTTTAATCTAAATGTGTCTACACCATTTAGCAAGTGAGATTTGTCTTTACCATTGCTAACTTCTTTACCATTGCTAACTCCTTTACCATTGCTAACTTTCCTTGTCTTCCCAGATTATTTCTCCATTCTTCTTTGCTTTACCTAACCAATTCCTTTCTCTGCCTCTTCAAATCTAATCTTTTTCCTTTCAGTACTCAAAAAATGGTCGAATTCGCGAACGCTTTCGCTACAAATCCTAATTTTCGACGCTATATCAAAAAGAGGTTTCTCTCACTGATCAAGAGTGAAAATAGAGTTATAGAGTTAAAAGAAGATTGAATTAGAACTCTCACTAAACCCAAATTATCGACGAGTCGGTGTAGTAAACTAAGAAAAGATACTGTAGATATCTAAGAAGTGTCATTAAGTTACAGAATTCATTTAGTTCAACCTCGTCCTCAGCCACTTCATCAAGACCTCCATTGCCAAAATTGCCTCTCTGGGATGCGCATCAGTTTCGAGCACTTAACAAAGGTTGGTTGAATAGAAAATATTAAAATAATTATCTTTATTGATGTTTGTAACAATTCTTATTATCTAATTGTCCATTTTTCTCTAAAACACTTCCTAATCCAATCTTTTAATCGTTCTTTTCATGATCTTTGAAAAAAACCGTTTCTTTTCGTCAATTTCTTTTTCCTAAATGGATCATTTTTGAGATCTTTCTCTCTGTTATTGAAAAATTTAATTTGTTGAAATATTTCTAAAAGAAAAGAAAAGAGAAATGTGAAAATGGAAAGAGATAAACAAAAAAAAAACATTTCTTTGTGATTATTTCAAGATAATTTTAACCATAAAGGGAAATATTTTGCTTTTTTGCTATTTTGCTATTTTGCTATTATAATATTTTGCTTTCCCTGGCAGAAAGCAGTTACCGTATTTTCTGTAATAGTAGTGCAGTCTATAATAGTAGTGCAGTCTATAATAGTAGTGCAGGCTGGAGGGGGCTTGAAAAAATAGTAGTGCGCACTACTATTACAGAAAATACGGTATACAAATATGAAAGCCGTAAAGAGAGCAATTTAGCACTTAAACAATTTATTCTTTGGGATTTATGCAGTCTTGTCTTGTCCTTTTCTTTTCTTGATATCTCTGTGAGCGATCTTGTCTCGTTCATCCATCTCCACTTCTTTCCATACAACAAACTCTCTTTCCAATCCAATGCAGGTGAACAAATTTTCAATTTTTCTTTCCAATTCTTTTCTTCTCAACACATTTTTTCATCTTGCCAATAGAATCTTCAACAAACTTTTCCCTTGTTCAAAAAGTCTATGAAATTAGGTTAATGACGTGTCAAAATCTATGCTTCCAACTTTCTAGGTTCTAAATTTGTTCCAGCTTAAAGAAATCCTAATTGAAGTTGTTGAAGTGAAGTTCCTATTCTTAAAGAAATCCTATGAAGTTGTTGTTGCTGCTAGGTTCCAAAAAAATACAAATCAATGGCCACAATTTCGTTTCCCATAATCGAATAACTTCAATCTCTCTTTCTACGTCGAAATGCAAGCCAACCCAAACAATAATCGGCTTTCCACCTTTGATATTTCTCTCTAAATCGATCCTCGATGCATTTTATGACCTTTCTCTCTCTCTCTCTCTCTCTCTCTCTCGAAATGGCCATCACCCTCAAACTTTTGTGATCGCTCTCCTCTCCATTGATGGACATTCCTCTCCTCTTTGAAGGACAAGTGATTTTTATTCGCTTTCTTTTATATAAACACTATCACTTTCTTTCTTTTTGAGTTAATAAGTAATTCTGATATCTTATGAAGTTAATAAGTAATTCTAATATCTAATATCTTTTTCAATCTCTTGCAATCATTCATCTATCATATCCCTTTCAATAAGTGAATTTTTTGTGTTTTTAAAGCCAAAATTTGTTTGCTTTTTTATAAGATAACAATTTTTATCTAATTATTCTATGAAACACACCTTCTTAATGTAGGACTCAATTAGGGCTAGTTTTGCGGCTCAGCTTTTCACATATTGAAGGTAATGATACACTGAACACAGTGACATTTCGACTATTCAACAGTGACAACTTGCTGTATCCGATGTGCTTCTTGATTAAATCCAAACTCTCAATATTATTTCGATTCTTGCACTTCCAAATACTCTTAGCGATATCATTGACACGAAATTGTGTGAGATGACCTTCTTTTCCTCGTTTTTTTTTCTCAACTCTCTTTTCTTTTTTCCAATCTCCTTCAGACCTTGAAAATTTCACCAGCTCGTAGATAACATTTCAAAAATTAGCTCAAGACTTTAAACTATTTTATTTTGACTTGAAAATAGTTGAAATTCCCAAACTTCCCAAACTGTTAGCTCTTCGAAAGCCAAGATTTCCCTTTCATTCGCTTGTTCACTCTGATTGCCCAATTTTAGCGACTCCAGAGTTCTATCGACGACAGACAACACAAATCGACGACATACCGATAAATCACTCGAATCATCAACCACAAATCCAACAACAGCAGAGACATCCTGTTGACGGGACTTTACCCAGACAAACCTCAAGGCATATTGTACAGGTTCGGTGTCAAATTTATGTTGTTCTTGTTGTTAAGAATGTATGGATAATGCTCAATTGAATACTGTAGATTAAATCAATTTCCTTTTGATAAATCACCTTTTGGCAAATCACCTTTTAAGCTACTTCAATACCTTTAGGGAAGTCCGTCTGGTCTGTTGCTTCCACGACTCCGTCCACCGCCCAATCAACTACCTCGGTAATTTTGTTTAGCAAAACTCAAGATCCAAAGCAATCAAAGCAGTTAGAAACTAAGTGATCGGCGTCGAACCGAAGTCGAATCGGATTGAGAATCAGACGCTTTGGCAATCCACCATGAGACACATTGACTTCCTTTCCTTTCCTCTCCTCTCGAGGGGCTTTCTCTGCTACCCTTTATTGAGGATCCTAGAAGGCTCAACTAAGCTGTAGCTTTAAAATTACACTTGTAACTGTTTACGGCTATAACTGTAACTGTAACTATGACTGTAATCTTTTTAACAATAACTAACACAATAATTTCCAGGTCGATTCCCCCGCGAAGCCCTCCACCCTATCGACCACCACCAAGAAACAGTCCAAGACTGCAGCAGGCACGGTTGGTAAAGAAAAAACGCTTTTACAGGATTTAAGATATCTAGGAGTATTCTTTAAACTATACACCCTGTACTGTTTTTTATAGATTTAAAATTAGATAAATTCATTGTTCTAGTCAACCAAGACTCGAGTCCACCGCACCCAAGCACTCAACACCGCATCGAGAAAAGTCGCCGTCGAAACAGGTAAACAGAAAACGAATCAAATTCGTTATCATAACGAAATCGAGTAAAATGTTTTTATATTTATCCCGATTTCCCTATGTATTGTTCACATTACTTTCACTCACCCACCTTTTCTCTTCTCAAGGCGTCATATGATTGCCTGCCATTTATAAACTTTCCCCTCACTTTCTTTTCTTCTTTTTCTTCTCTTTGGCGGTCAATGGGTGTCTCAATCTGAATTTCTTCATTTTATGACCATATTATGGACTACTTCTCTTCATTTTCTATTTAGCCACTCCTTTATTTATACGCCCGGTTTTAGACTGAAAGATAACGAAGAAAAAACATTGACTCATTGAATGGGTAAGATGATAGGAATTTGAGCGAAAGAATTTGGGTGAAAGAATTTGAGTTATGAGGAAAACTACAGCTGTTGAGGTTGAATATTGAGGTTGAATAAAGTTTAACAGCTGTTGAGGTTGAATCTTGAGTTTAAGCTCAAGATTTACCAAGTTCAGTTGATTGAGTTGTTGAAAGAAATCGGAATAAATAAAACAGACTTTTGAATTTCTTATTCAAAATTGGTTTGCATAAAACTTTTAAGCGTTTTGCTGTGGAAGGAATGTTTCTTTAGAGTCTAGAGATTGAAAACACCTTCTAACATCTAAAGATCATGGTAAAGAAAAATTTTGGCTGACAGGCTGACAATGAGTAGAGATATTCATGCGAAATCTCCAAGTCTTTTGCTCATTTCAACTTTCTTCTCATTGGCCTTATTGTTAGGGCATTGTTGAAATGATTCAGTGACGCGGGTACCTTTCCTTTAACAGAGACAAAAGGTTCGTCTTCTTCTTCTCCTTCCTGGCCCATCAGGGTATTCCCTTACCCTTCTTTCTTTTATGTGACACATCATTGGCCTCATGATTGTGTTAAATGAATGGTTCTTTTCTCTTTTCGGACGTCTTTCCCTTATCTTCCTTTCTTCTGTACTTCTGTATCCTTTTCCATTCCAATTTTCTTTCCCCGATAAAACGATTACTCATTTATGCTCCGCCCAGAACAATAACCGAAATCGGCTCTCTATTTTCGGCCTAGCTGAATAGTATTTCTGACTTTCGGCCTAGCTGAATAGTATTTCTGACTTTCTGCCTACTCTTTCAACATCATTAAAATGGTTCGGAATCGAGACCGAGCGAATGTTTTGATGATATGGCCATCGGTAGGGGATTAGAGTTAATCTTGTACAAAGTTTCAGGAAAGATAAAAGTTTGAAATCCCAAGCTTGATAAGACAATAGCCAATAGACAATAGAAAATAACCAATAGGCTTTCTGGTTATTCTAGTCTGACCTGAGTAACCCAGAACCTTGGATACTTGTAGGGCTATCGCTACATAAACAATATTACCATAGTTCTCATCTTATAGCCAGCCAGCATACCATGAATCTTTGAATTCATTCTCTCAAAACATTCATTGACCTTATCACGAACTTCTCCACTCAACTTCTTTCTTCTCTTTATGAATCTGAATAGACAACCGCGTTCTAGTGTCCACTCCTCTTTTTCTCCATTTCTCGAGTGTTTCTCTCATCCCTTCCACCGAATCTTTGCTTTGATAGCCTTTCTCCTCACTCATCAAATCCTCATCTTAATATACAAATCACCATTATATGCAAATTTTGCTATGCAATCCTTGTCTCAAGCTTTTCACTCTATAATCTTCATACGCGGACTGCTAATCCCTCCATTCTCATGCCTCTTTCCAAATTTTGTGTCTCTGTCAGCAATACGAAGTAATCATTGGCTCTTCCTTTCGTTTCTGTTTTCATCGGCTATTTTCATATGTCGATTTCGTCTTTTTTCTCAGGCCTAAAGGCATGGGAATAGCCTAGTTTATAACCATCAACAACCACATAACTTTTCTATTCTTGTTCTTGAGGTCTTAAGCCGTCAAGATTCTTGGGGTGTCTTCGTTGAGACATTCAAACTTTAGTTCAGCTTACAATTTTGTTTTATTTGAAAACTAAACCGGGTCTGGGATTGGTACAAGCAAGCCTGCAAGTCTTTCAACTTCAAGTTTCTATTATTTCTTACCTTCCAAACCTGATGATTTTGCTAATTCCACTCCTATCCATATCCCCTTTTCATCAATAGACATGATCTGATCAAAATCGGGCACACGAGGGTTGTTGTGTGTGCGGCTTTTTGTGGGTGTTTGCAGTGAAGGACGAGCCGCGTCACTCTCTTTTTGGACCCATCTTCGGGGATTGATTGAAAAGGAAAAAAATGGGAAGAAGCTGGAAAGAGGTAGACTGATTGCTCTACGTTTCCAATTCATTTCACATCACTTCAGGCTTCTTGTTTTGTTGTTTTTTACTATTCATTTTATCACTCGTATTGAGAGGCCAAAGTTTTACGGGTCAAACACTAGCTTACTAGTTTCTACTGGCAACATTTTACCATATTTGCTGAGGTCAGCCAAGAATATCAACCGCAAAAGTGCTAAAGCTAGCTCTGATATTTCAAGTAATGCAATAAGACTAGGACCCAATCAATGCCAAGCCGATGAAGCGGAAAGTTTTTCTTTCATTTCAATCATCGTTCCTTTTCAGTCTTTCCCTCGAATCATTCCCTTCTTCAGCTCTTTTTTCCCTCAATTCCAATCGGAACTTCCGTCGGTCCACTCGGACATCTCTTCATTTCTCCCTTTTAAGCACTCTTCTCTTCTTTTCTCATCTCACCGCCTTTCATGTTTCACTCGAAACATCTAGCCAAGCTTTTCGATATTAATTTGACCAAAGGAAATTAGCTAATATTTTATAAACTTAAGATATTCTATAATATTTAGTATAATATTGCTTGTTCTAACTGTACCAGTACCAGTAGCATTTCAGTTATCTACATCTATATCAATCAACCAAATTGCAGGCGACGAATGCAATAGAGTCAACTCCAGTCTATGCCCAACCGAGACCCCGAATGGATGCCGCCACGTTGCCCCGAAATTTTCATGTTATACAAAAGTTCGTTTACACTCTGACTATCAAAAGCAGGCACAATATAAGTCAGATTATGATTCTTGATAGAATATTTTTAGATTTTAACTCAAATTCTAGGGTTCACGACATGCCAGTGGATGAGGGTTTCTCGTCGAATTCGATGAACTCCTCGCAGTCCTCGAATGATTACATGCCGAGTAAAGCTGAGCCACAAGGTGGGTATTACATTCATGTATTGGAAATAAAGAGTAAGCTGTTGTTGCTCTGATTGGTTTATAAGACAAAGATTATTTAGTCAACACAATGACACGCAGCGGAATGTTACAACAGAAGAGCTTTGATGAAACGGCAGTTAGGTGAGTGAAATTTCAGAAAAGTTGTTAGTTTAAAAGTTAAAGCATTGAAAGTTAAAGCATTGAAAGTTAAAGCATTGAAAATCTTCTCAACATTTCTAATTCAGAGTTCATCCTGATTACAATGCGGCGAGTATGGGGCGAAGAAATAAAGTACCCGTTGGAGCAATGTTTGACGATAGGTTTGTGTTTGAAATGCTTAAAAGATAAAAGATGCCAGCAAAGACGTATAATGTGTCTGTTTTTATTCATAAAACAAAATTTCTAGACGTTTCTCAACGATGGAAGCCACTCAAAGACTCTACAAGAAGCACAATGTCTCCACCAATCAATTACATGATGGATACAGCACGATGCCTCCAGATGTGGCTAGGGTGGGGGTTTTGGAATTGTGAAACGTTTCTTTTACACTTTATTCTGTTCAATTCTTTTTACTAGAGCTTAATTAGCCGACTGATAAGCATTTGATTTGACTCTAGAACCCTTTTGGTCAAGCTATGCCAGCCTTAACACCTCAAGTTGATTTGCTTTCACCAACAACTTACTTGACTACTTGTAAAGTTGATTTTTGACTTGCTTGTAAAAAATTTTGACTTATCTAGCTTATCCAATCAAATTGCTTATCCAATTCACCTTATCTTATAGCTTATCCAATTCACCTACAAATATTGAAAGTCTAGATTGTTTTTACTAAATTTAAACAAGAACAAAGTCTGTTTTGGAGTCTCTAAAAGTTTTGAAGTCTAGAAGCCTGACTCTAGAAGCTTTTCAATCAAACTATGCCAGATCATCCCATCAAGCCTTGCAAATTGGGAACAATTGTGAAAGAGAAAAGTTCGCAAAAAGTGCTCAAGTTTTGTCCTTGTTACCCCCATGGAAGCTCTCCTGACGAACACATGCGTTGAGTGAGGGTGGAGAGGGGAAAAGGGAGAGGCTGAAGTCTGGAGAGACGTCTGAAGAGAAGACTGACCACCATGTTTTCCCTTTTTTCATTTCATCTCCTTTTCTCTCTTTTTTTTTCTACCTCATCATCACAATTGGGGTCTTCTCTTGTTTGTTTCTCTTTATTTGTCCCATTCAGAGTCACCACTAAACAACCAAAGCAATCAAACAAGCAAAAGCATAACAAAAGCTTTACGGGCCAATTTTTGCTATTAGTTTGTTTTTGAATATAATGAAAATGTGCTTTGATCAGTTTTGCAAAATTTTTTGACTCTTGATCTTGATTTTTGACTCTTGAAGATAGTAATCCTCACTAAAGTAGTCCTTATATTTTAAACTTTTACTTTTTATCCGTTTCCTTTTATTTTAAATCTATTTTCTATCGTTTCTATTCAAAAAAAACGCTTTCAATTGTATTTTGGTTGTTCTGAGATTGTTCTGACATTTTGACTTCTCAAGATATCAAAGTTCAAAGAAATTAAGGAATCTATAGCTTCTGAATCTTCAGCTCTCTTTGCCAATCCTCTAGGGGATCAATTGATTGACTGGCGGATACCTGGAGAGTCCCCTCATCAAGGCCTTTATGCTAATTGTGTGTCCCTCTCTCTTTCTCACCTTTTCCTTTTCCAATGCATGTGATCAAGGCTGAGGCGTGACCCCCACCCGCCCCGAGTCTTTCTATTCTTTTAGGGTACCCCTGCAACTCCTTTTGTCCACAAAAGACGCCTTTACCCTCTGAGCCTTTTTTCTTTATCTTTTAGATTAACAAACAAACAAATATTTTTATCATTTAAACAAATAAACAATTTATATATTCTGATTCTTCGGTCAGCTAAGAAAGTTGAAGTTAAAACCACGCTATTTGATAGGAAAGCCAGTGACTTTCTAATTGAAGAACAATGGAAACAAGTTACAATAATTTTATTTTCCGTAGAGAAAATAGATTTAGTATTTTGTATGAATTGCAACAATTCTTTTGCTTTGAAAGTTTTTTTTGTAGTGTCCATGGAAACAAGAGAACTCTTTGTCGAATGGTCAGCCAGTCGTTTTTTAGTTTTTAGTCAAAGTATTCAATTAGAGAATCTAGTACGACTTTTGATACTAAAATAGTAACTAATTGTAACTAATTGTAACTAATGGCTTTACCAAGTTTCTTTTCAATAATTCGTTCTGATCCATTGAAATTTTGTTTTATTCATTTTCTTTCAAAGCTTGAACATTTCACAATCAGATATCGTCAAAAACCCAGACTAACATTGTAAGAAAAACCCTTTTCTATCTAGATTTCTTTGAGCTTCAAAAACTGTACACAATCGCTTTCTTTTCCCATTTTTGCGCGCTCATAAAATCGTGGCGTGAACACCTGTGCTTGGGAATTCGATTCGAATTTCTTTGCTAGCTTATTTCAGAATTATTTTTCTAAATCTTTAAACCATCTAAAGTTAATTCAAGAATTAGAACTCTATCTTATCTTTATCTTTTTATCTGATCAGATCTAACTCTATCTTATCTTTATCTTTGAAAACCTCCGATCGTTTGATTTAGAAATCTTCTTAAAAGCTAACACTTTTATGTGTTCGTTTTCTTTTTTACCCACAAAAAAAACGTCTGTTTGAAATCGAGAATGAAAAAAAAAGATATTCAGCCGAAATATTTGCCCCCATCAAACATTCCATTGAATCGTTGAGAGAGAAACTTTAGCTTTTCTTCTTAGGCAAAGGATCGATGGCATGACTATAGTTGGGTCTTTTTTTGGAAAATATCAGCATAGTCTTGTTCTTAGGTTAAAATCAATCCTTTCTAACAAGTTTAGATAATCTTGCATATCTAAATTGTCCATTGTAGTCGCTGTGGCGCAGTCTAGAGCGCGCTTGTCCACGGCCCACACAACCTGGGTTCGATCCCCCGTAGTGGGATTTGCAACTTATCCTTTTTCACAATGTACTTGATTTTAAACGTTATACTTTAAGTACTGTAGATATTAAGTATTATCGAGCATTTTCAGTGTTAAGTAGGCAAATTTGGTTTGATTTTTAAGTTAAGTGTTGACACAACAGTTCATACAGTCGCAGAAGGTGTGCGTTTCCATTTTCAAGCACAAATACGGAGCTAGCATCAAGTTTTGGAAGTTTTACAAACTAGCAAGTGTTCTTGAATCCCCAAAGTTTTAATTTTGATTTATTTCTATTAAATGCTTTTCCAAAGTCGATTTCCCTGCGTTGCCAAGCACATTTTTTTTGAAATTTCGAAACTAAAAAACCGTGTTTCTTCTTTCCCTCAGCAAAAAGACCTCAACAAAATTTCATAAACAAAAAAAGAGACAGGCAAATGAAAATATTAAAAGAAAAATATTTTCAAGAAATCGTACAAACGCTTTTTTTTTGCTAAAAATCAGAAATTGAAAACGGTTTTTTTTTGTGCGTACTGTTTGAATCGCTTCGATCTGCAATAATGTGTTGGGAGTGATTCATTTGACGATTCACGGGATGAAAAGGGAAAAGGAAAAGAAAAGAAAAGAAAGTATCACCTAACGGAGAGAAAAACACTCATATTCTTTTCATTATTCATTTGATTTTCTTACAAAATAACGTTTGAATGCTTGCTCTAAATTCTATTGTAAGAGAGAAAGTCGGAATCGTTTTTCAGACACGCGGAATCCTTTTCCCCGTAACCTCTGCATATCTTTTGTTTGATCTAAGTATTGTTATTCAAAAGTCATAATGTTCCTTCAGAAGAATCATTCTATAATTTTTTTTTAAAGACTTTGCTTCATCTATCATAAAGCTTTTGCAATGTTATCAAAACAACTGCAAATTCTGTGGTATTTTGTCAATTTTTGTCCACTTTATCACCTCTGCTGATAGATCCTCAAATCTGAAATCATTTTCTTGTTTCTGATTGGAATTTGCTAACAATACTTGATCTTGTTCTTGATCTTGATTAGCTAAAGTCCCCTACTTACAGCTCATCAATTTGATTAGCTATTGGCTTTGAGCTATTGGCTTTTAGCTATTGGCTAAAATTTCCGCAAGTAAGTCTAAAACGACTGTTTCTTATCGATTGTCGACTGTTTATCTTAACTTGGTTAGGTTTTTTGTTTATCTTAACTTGGTTATCTTTTACAGTATTTTAGACAATGCCGGATAATAGAATGACAATTTAGACAAGTTGCATAGTTTAGATTTTGATTAATAGAATCACAAGAATTCCTATCATTCTTTCTCTTAAAAATCGAGAAATGTCCGACCTTCAGGTGGTTTTCAAGGAAAGCCCTTTTCTTTGCCTTTTCCCTGTCATTTCCTCAATCTCTTTTGTAAACGAGACGAGCCATTTTTGCATTTTCGCTCATTTCGCTGTCAAATGTATTCATTACAACAATCTCTTTTTAGAGGGAAAAGACAGGAAAGTGATTTATGGGGAGAGATAGGTAAAGGGTTTTGGAAAAGGAGAAGAGAAAGTGATTCTCGACCTTAGGCTGGTGAGGGTGGATCCCATTTTTGATTTCCATTCCAAATAGCTTTTTAATATCATAATCAAAAGATTATGCAAGGTTTAATCACATTATCAACAAGATTTTAGTATATTATTTTTCAGTTTCCTTTATCTGAAAGTCTTACTCTATTTAGGTACGTATTTAGTCTAAAATCAGTCTAAAATCAGATTTTTAGACTAATCACTGGGTATCTTTGAGTTAAACATATATACCGTAAATACTGTAATAGTACCCCACCCCCATAATGACGGTGCGAAGTGTTGCATAGTCTAGCTTTGAACGAGTTTTTCTTGACACTGGTTTATGCTACAATGCGCGCTTAGGTATCAAAAAATAGCTGAAATTCAGGGCTTTTTTTGATACCAAAGACGCATTTTTTTGAAAGTATGGGTGCTTTGCAAAAAATGAAATACTAAAAAATTTTTGCGACTACGCGACTGTACGAGGGGGGTGGGGTACTATTACAGTATTTACGGTAGGTATTGACTATTTGATAATTTGATCTCGGTTAATCTTACTAGGAAAAGCCACTCTTTGAAATGCAATAAAGCTAATTATTAGTGCTCTATAGAGACATGTCTATAGAGAGATGGTCGTAATAGATTTTTAGAGTTAAAATAGAGAGACATGTCAGGGGAATGGAAGAATATGACCTAATTTTCAGCTGCTTCCAAAAGTATACAAGAATAACGGTAAAGACAACAATATTTTGTTTTGATATTTAGGTAACGAAGTTTTAATCAGATTCGTCAAGTTTTAACTTGACGAAATGAAACAGCAAAAGTTTTGAAAGTTTTGAATAAAACTCTTTGAATAAAAGAGTTTCCTTTTGTTTCTATCTTATGATTGCTTTATAAAAATATCTTTCAAAAACCCCATTTCCCAACAAATCCTTTCAATTCCCATCAATTCGAATGATGACGATTAATCTCTTTCCATTTTTTCTTCCTCTTCCTCCTTAATTGAATGCAATCTGATTTGAGTTTCGATCTATCACAATTGATCTAATGTGTGACCGATGGAGAAGAGAATTTTCAAAGAATTTTCTCAAATGTTTTTTTATTATATAGCTTTCATGTTTTAAAACCAGAAACAAAGAAAAGAAAAGAAAAGAAAAATCCGTTGTTAACCCAATGTTTCTCCATTGTTTATCCACCACTTTCCCCTTCCATTCCCCAAGTTCCTCCGTTTGATCTGCTTGACACTTGTTAATCTCCACCATTTTCACTGCTTGTTCACTTTTTGTCCCGTTTTTTCTTTTCCAAATCTTCCCAGTGTTCCTTTTTGCTCATAGACTCCAGAATTTGTTTAGGCAACATAGAAATATCATTAGCTATTCACATAAATTGGTCTTTAACTAATGATCGCAATCAATTCACCTGATTTACTTTTGTAAATTGTAAAGGATAAGCTTTAAGGATAAGTTTCTGTAAAGGATAAGCTTTAAGATGATCGGATAAGCTTTAAAATGATCACTCTGTAATAAATAGAATTTTCTGTAAAGAAAGCTTCAATTTTTCAGATAAACATTTACCTCTGGGATAGGCTACTTTGCGCCAAATTTTTTTGCGCACCAGGGTCATTTGCGCAACTGGGTCGTTTGCGCAACTCGCCATAACTTTCTTCTAAGTAAGCCAATCTTTATGATTTTGGTGTCATTTTGTATATCTCAATAAGTGTAACAAAATAACGCCAAAATCATAAAGATTGGCTTACTTAGAAAAAGTTATGGCGAGTTGCGCAAACGACCCAGTTGCGCAAATGACCCTGTTGCGCAAATAAAATGGCGGAAATTAGCCTACCCCAAAACAGCTACTCCTTGTCAGATTAAAGTTACTGTTTTTTTTAAATCAATAGCATCTTTAAAGCAAATATCTTGTATTTACTATCCATCTGCCAATCTTAGCGACTATTTCGTTGATCTATTCAGAATTTCTCTTTCTTTGAATAATATTTGCGAATCCACAATGAATACCATGTGTGAGCAAGGGGTCTTTTTCCCTATCTTTCTCCGATCCGATTCATGACTCATCCCTTGTGCCATAGTTGAAAGAAAAGTGTCAATCAATCATATTTCACAAACCCCACCATTCCCATCACTTATTTACTATTCAAATTCCCGTTTTGTATCCAAAAAAAGAGAGAGTAAAAAAAGCTTTGTTTTGCACAAAGTTTTCATTTTCAACAAACATAAAGCAAACAATTTTTTGTAAAACAAATTTATGCTTACAGTTTTTATGCTTATCGCTTTAAGATTACTAAGATTTTCATATCAAAATATTCATTTTAAAGCTAACTAGCTGATTTCATAATCCATTATCGATCATTTTCAGCCTCGAGCTCCGTCAGCTCAATCGGGGATGAGCCCCGCGTTGCATGGGGTGAATACTCTGCCAGCTATTGGAATTGGTCTAGTCGAACCGCCGAAAAAACAGCGAACCGATCAGATCTTCGATGCTCTTGTCAATGGATTCAGGTTTGAAATTGATTTGTTCAAAATATTAACTTGCCAAGTTCTCAAGTGATACAACTGAAGCACTTCAAAACTTTAAAAAAAAGATATCTTGAAATATAATCGATTGATTGATAGCGACTGTGTAAGAAAAGGGCCAACTTGTGCAATTCACTCAATTTCCAGATCCTACATCGCTTTCTACAGCGGTGAGCGAGACCGATTGAGAGCCGAACTCGAGGCGACCAACGATGCTGGGACGGCGACAAGAATTGAACATGTTAGTTTCATTTTTGAAAATCCCACATAAAGTATACGTTTACTAAGTTCATTAAAATATAATCTTTAATTCAGGAATTGGTGTTGGTTGAAGAGAACGTTCAACTCTTCGAGAGTCATCTCCATCGAGTCTCCCGACTGCAGGACCGCTATCGACAGGGGCACTTTGCTTCACTCAAAGGTTTGCGGAATTCAAATTTTTTAGTTACACTAATCTAAATTGCTGTCTTATTCTATTTTTCATTGCTTCTTTCACCAAAACGATTCGAGTTTTTGATTCTGTCAAAAAGTGGTTGTTGGAGTGGAAAAAAAAGGGGGAGAAAAGGATAGTAATCGTATGCAAATGTACGATCGGGAGCTTTTTATGGTGTTTTGTTGGGTAAAAGAGAGAAATTGAAAGGAATTTCACGTTTTTCTCTTTCATTTTTTTTGTTTCTGTTTCTGAGTGATTCAAACTAACTTTCATCAAATGTATGACAAACTTTTTAGGGTTTAAAAGTTGTCACCCGTAAAGTGACAAGTTAGCATAATGGTTGAACGAATGATTCGATAGTTTCAAGCAAAAATGGATTGTGGATCAAAGATTAGCATAACCAAAACAATGAGTACCGTAAATACTGTAATAGTACCCCACCCCCCTCGTACAGTCGCGTAGTCGCAAAAGTTTTTTAGTATTTCATTGTTTGCAAAGCACCCATGCTTTCAAAAAATGCGTCTTTGGTATCAAAAAATAGCTGAAATTCAGGGCTATTTTTTGATACCTAAGCGCGCATTGTAGCATAAACCAGTGTCGAGAAAAACTCGTCCAAAGCTAGACTACGCAACACTCCGCACCGTCATTATGGGGGTGGGGTACTATTACAGTATTTATGGTATGTAGATCTATACAGGGTGCTCCAAAAAAAGTCAGTTCAGCGCGATTTTTCTCCGAATTTCTAGTGGCTTCTGGTGGTTGTTGTGGTGTCAAAGTGAATATTTTGGGCGGACAAATTTTTTGATATTTTTTCACTTGTTCCCGATTTCATGACTTTCCAATAAATGAATTTTTGAGCCACCATGGCTGTCACCACCATATGGATCACCACCATGAGATTTTTGTCATAAAATTGAAACTTTCTAATGGCATCGTGGTGTCATATTAGAGTTAAACTGTAAACTAAGATCTATAACCAAACACTTTATCGGTTTAGAACATCCAGTGATCTCTTGTACATAGAACTCTTTTAACTTGCAATTTTCAAAGGGGCAGCCATGTTCTGCTCATAAGCTACTAATCAATAAAGTGTTTGGTTATAAATCTTAGTTTACAGTTTAACTCTAATATGACACCACGATGCCAGTAGAAAGTTTCAATTTTATGGCAAAAATCTCATGGTGGTGATCCATATGGTGGTGACAGCCATGGTGGCTCAAAAATTTCTGTTTAGGAAAGTCATGAAATAGGGAAAAAGTGAAAAAATATCAAAAATTTGCCCGCCCAAAATATTCCTTTGGCACCACAACAACCACCAGAAGCCAAAAAATATAAAAATATTCACTTTGACACCACAACAACCACCAGAAGCCATTAGAAATTCGGAGAAAAATCGCGCTGAACTGACTTTTTTTTGGAACACCCTGTAGTTTGCCCAAAAGTTTTAAGATGGCTCCTATTTTGGATCCTAAGACGGATTCAAAACTCAATCTTATTTCCCCAATCGATTTTTTTATTCATATTGTCCTTGAGGATCCTTTCTTGAATCACATACAGTGTTGTTTCTGTGTTGGATAATTGGAAAGCCAAGCCGAAACGAAGCGAAGAAACATCCATTAGATTGGGATTTTCCCCTTGTGTTGCTCTTTGGATGGGATTTTCATGACTGGAGTGAAGGGAAAGAGGAGAAGACATAGATGGGCATGCCTTCAAGGACTTCTTCAAAGTGAAGGACTGGGGGAAGAAAGAAAAAAGATCATCCAAAGAGAGATTTTTGGAGAGTCAGTATTTACCTTTCTTACTATTAGCTTTGAGACCTCCGTTCATTGCACTCCATTAAAGTGTACAATATACAATGTACGCTCATTTGAAGCCCTTTGAACTTCTGCTTGTTTTGAGGACTGTATTATATTAAATCCAGAATTTGAAACTGAAACTGAAACCCAAAATCCATTAGATTGAGATTGTAGCTGAGTGAATTGTACAAACTATCTTTTCATCGCTTAGCAATCAAAGATTATTTATTGAAAGCTCTGTCAAGAACATAACCCTTGACAAGTGAGAGTGTTCGATGATGTTAGCCATCATTTCAGTTGATTGAGTGGGAAAGGAGTAGCCATTCATTTCCCTTTCTTTCCCACTTCTTTCCCACTTTTCCCCCAACCGGTTCACATGGAATTGTGATCGCTCATGCTTTTTCTCGTTGTGTTCTGTCTTCTGAATTCTTTCTACAAACAACCAAGAAACTCTGCATAACTTTGCTAATACCTTTTTGCTATCCTTATTCTTAGGTTTATACATTTGAACATTACCCTGACAATGAATAAATCAACTAAAATACTAGTTATTTCAAAAATTCTTTTGCCAACACTTGAGTTCTCCAAATTCTCATCAATAAAAGTCGATTCATCTTCAATTCTTTCAATTCTTTCCAATTCCTTTTTCCCTCAAAAAAATAGCCGATCGAGTGCTTGAATGGGGTCTACTTCTTTGTGAAAAGCCTCTGAAACACCCTTCTTCGAAAAGAAAAAAAGCCGATAGAAATAGAAGACCCTTTTTTCCTTCTTTCCTATTCACCCAATCGGTCAACACTCAATGAAACAAAAAGAAATAAAAAAGAGGTTTCTCTTTCGCAAGGACTTTCCTTTTTAGATGACATCTGGAATTGTTCAAATTTTTGCTATGCTAAGCATTCGGCTTTGTTTTTGCCACTGTATTTCAGCTGTACAAAAGCTCAACAGTACATTGGATCCACAAGTTTCAGTTCCAAAGCTCTCTCAGGAAAAAAAAAACGATCTCTCAAGTAACATAAAGATAGAAAGCTTTCAAAGATAACTCAAATTTTTGACTTTCATTGAAAATTTTGATACTTTTGATTGCGAGCAAAGTTCCCAACTTTAAATACCTTTTATGTCTATCAGAAGGAAAGCTCTCTTCCCAATCTTTTTCAGAAGTGACCTCGAAAAAGACAGAAATCGTTTTGAACCCTCTCAGAACTTTCCTCTCTTTTCTTTTCTTTTCAGATTCTCATTGAAAGAATTCATCGGAACGAAACGAAATGTCAAGAGTCCTTTCAATCTTTTTTGCATTCATTCAAATACCCTTTAGCTCTTTCTTTCCTTTTACAGCTTGAACTTTCTGAGCGCTAGCCGCTCTGACCTTTTTGTGACAATGTTGTAAATCCAAATTCTCTAAAGTTCATATTTTCTAGTTTTTTTTATAACTAAAATAACTTATCAATTCAATGTTAAAGATATGTGGATATATTAGGAATCTAATATTTATATTTTCAGCCAAATCCTCCTCTTTATCGGATCTTCGAGCGGCTCTTTCCGGTAAATCAACCTCTTCATCGTCAGCGATCGCCGCTCCATCAGCTGCGATTCATAACGAATTGGCTGCAATGATGGGCAGATTGTCAATTGAGATGAAAAGTGAGTATAGCTTTTCGATTTTTAAAGTTATCAAACATCCTCTCTTTAGCTATTGCCGGTTTTGCTCGTGTAGCTCCAGGAGACGTTTTCGAGGTTCAGATTCGACATGGGAACACCAAATGGAAGGTGGGAACTAGAGCCTGGCACTATCTTTAAAAGAGATTACGATTTTAAAAATATTAGGCTGACTGATTTTTTTTGTTAAAAAATACTAGACCTTCCTTTTGAAAAAAAACAAACCAACAAAAAAAAACAAAAAAAATGCATGATCGTTTCTAAAAAAGAAGTTGAAAGAAGTCACTGAAGAGAATTTTATGCATTTAATAATATCCAATGTTATAAATATAAATATCTAAATATCTAATGTTATGCATCATTCTAGGCTCGCGGAAAAACCCAAGCCGATCGAACGCAGCGCTGGGATCGAGAAGCGACCACTTTCGAGTGTCATCCATCAAGCACTGTTGATGTGAAGGTAACTAAAAATCATTGGATCTTCTAAAACATTTCAAAATTTATAATATTTGATTAATATTTTATTTGATTAGGTCTGTGAAGTGCGTCTATTCAAGACGAAACCCTTGGCAGAGCGCTCATTCGATCCGTGTGAGCTGTTTGCCGCTTCTCCCCAAATGGTCACCATCTCGCTGAACACTCTTGGAACGATGAAATTGCAAATGATTGTTACATGGATGTAAGTTTTAGTAAATTTTTTAAGATGGCTTTGATATTTATTCTCTTTAGACCACTGCTTGCCTCGAAAAGCGGTCTTGCTTCAACAATCACAAGAACTCCCACATCGATGCTATCTGAACAAGCTGAAGAGGCAAAGAAACCACGAGTCGTTTTAAGGTAAGCTTGGAAATGTGCATAAAATTATAATACTAGATATTGGATTGAAAATCATAAACAACTTTAGGGAGAAGAAACGCGGCGGCGCGGCAAGAGCGGCGACGAAAGAGCAATGGAGATCATCGACGAATCTCCTCGATTCGATCTATCACGATCTATCGAAGAACATCCCTACCGCTGAGTCGGTAAGTGAAGCGAGAAAGATTTCTCCTTATCACTTCCTAGATGTCAACTCCATCTCATCGTTTATCAATGCTAGCCGTTTCTTCATCATCTCCCGATGTTTCTAGTGGCACTCCACTCATTCCTCCATCCACCTCGAATCCAAATCAAACGGCTCTACTCAGTGCTCCACAAGATAGCCCCGAATCAATGCGGGGAAGGTGGGTTTGGAATTGGCTCAGAGGGATTAGTTAGCCAGCTACTACTGTATCCTATGTACTATAACCCACTGTATGTACTGTACTACAGGGTGTCCCAAAAGCAAAATACGGTACTAGATAGCCCGAATGATATAAAACACTTTAACCTATCACTATCACCGTTTGGGTTTAAAGGAACCGTATCGGAACCTTATTGGAATAAAATAAGGACCGTATTGGAACCATATTAGAATAAAATAAGGACCGACAAAGTTTAAACAACCCTTCTTATTGTTAGAAGTTTACTTTACACCAAATTCTCCAGGGCATGCACTGGCGGCTCACAAGGAGTGTCTTCCTGTTCCTCAGCCACCTCATCATCCGATGTCGTCTCTCTTTCATCCGTTTTTTCGGCTCTATTGGATCTTCTAGATGAATGTCTTCCACTTGCTTCATCTTTATCTAAAGAAAGACACCGAGAATTGCACACGACTCATCAAATCCTTGTGCACTGGTCGAGAATACTGAGGGTAAGTGCAAGATCGTCAACATCCAGTAAGTAGTTTTAGCATCCAAATGCCAGCGGTGGTGCTTCGTTCCTCAGACGATCGGCATTTGTCCGGGGAGATGAGATCGACGACAATGTTTTGCTAGCGGATCATGGGTAAAAAAAAACTTTTTATGAAAGAGTACAGTTGTTTTCAGATCTGAGAATGATTCGGGAATCGATTCGTTGAGACAACAGATATCCCCATATGCGAGAAGAGTGCCAGGGGAGAGTGTTGGGCATTCAACGGCAAGTCGATTCAGTCAGGTGAGAGATTTTCATTGATGCAACTAAAAAACAATTGAAATGATGCTGGCAATCAATCAATCCTATTATTTCAGATGAGAGAGCGAAGAAAATCCCTGGGAGCGATGCTCGATCCGTCAGAGCTCGAAAGAATGTGTCTTGAGTCGGATCGTTTTTGGCAAGATGAGCACTCAACAGCAAAGCATGAAACGTAAGAAATTGATAACCAGTAAACACTATTTAAAAGTAAAGTTGCTCTTAAAGTTCCATTTTAAAACAAATTTCAGGGCAACCGGTCACCACGAGGTGGATGCCTGTCTGGCTCACCATTTGACGAGAATACGAAACTCTCTCAAGGTAAAATCATTCTTGGATGCTTTCAAGGAAATGTTTTAGCTTCTAACTGGTATCTCTGGTCCTCTCCTTTACCGTAGCACCGAGCACTTGCGACGAATCGAAGCCGACACAGTGGCGCTGGACGATCTCCTCAGATTGACACCTTCACTACCTGTACTGCCGAATATCACGAATGGTTTGAAATCGTGTATGGCTGAAGATTTATCATACTTTAGTTCTTTGCGAGCTGGGAGCTGAGGGAATTGTGCAAGAAGCCTGGCTTTCTGCCTGTTATCCACTACATGCTTCCCTTGTGGTCCCATTTGAGGAGCTTCGAACACAGGTAGGAAATAGACATGAAAACTACAAACGTTTCTAACCTGCTTCAAATCTGTCGGATTGACATGATCTATAGCGCAAAAAAAATAGAGAATCTCAAAAGCTTTCGAATGGATACCTGCACACCCAAAAATATAAATGCTAATCCATTTCTAGTTACGCGCTAATGTCTCTCCGATTGTCGAGCCAACATATCCCCATTTGGTGACCCGAGTGACCGAGTCTCTTTGTCGTCTCCTCTTAGACGGTTCTCCTATTCCATCACCTCCATCATCACCCATTCAAATGACTGTCTTCCATTTTGTTTCCCTTTTCCGTGGAAGGCATTTCGCCGCTTTTGTTGAGAGTCTCGCGCATGATGGTTTGTTGGAAACAAATTTCTTTGCATCGAATAACTTTAGCTTGGATGATCTCCTTGCTGAGCACGCGACAGCCAAGAAACGTGAATATCGTTTTTGAGAGGTTGACACAGGTAGCACTTGATTCTAAGCTGGCTTTAGACCACAATTGCCACAGATTATTGCTAGTTCTAGGTTCCGATGGCTCCACCGATAGACACATTGAGACACGTGGCACTTCTTTTACAAAACGGAGATCCTCACTTGAACACAACTATCGGTATGGGATACAAAAATACTAATAAACCTTACTTTTTAATAATATAGCATTAAAATCAAATTCTTTCCAGAGCGTTACCTGAGTGGCTCAGTTGGTCGTCTCCATTCCGATCTTCTTTCATCATTTTTGTGTCTTTTGGAAGCAGATGATGTTTTCATTCGGATTGGTGCCATTCGAGCACTTGGAGTGCTTAAAGTAAGAAAAAATATACAAAATTTAAATAGAAGATCAAAGAAATTCAAACAAAATCAAAATCAATTTTCAGAGCGCTCGAATAGCGGCCCAAGTGTGGTGGGTGGCGGAAAGGGATCGAAGTCAAGATGTAAGTATAGATAAAATAAAATAAAACTATAAATGCTTCAAAGCTATCTAATTAGAGATATGTTTGAAATCAATATATATTTTTTTTTTAATACTTTGCGCTGCAGGATCGTGAATTGAATAGGAAAGTTCAGAGATAGATAAGGTTGCGAGAGGGGTCGATCTAAAGTGTTTTGATGTGTTCGTACTGCTATAATACCATTTTCAGAATCGTATTCGATTTTGCAATATCTAACTAGAAGCTATTTTAATTTTTAAAATCTTCTATGCGTTCTAGCATCAGGTTTTACGTTAAAACTTGCGTACGAAGCGTAAAAACTGGCAAGAGTCAAATATTCCACTCACCGTCTTTTCCCAGATAACTTGACTATTCTGGTTTTTCTATTCAAATCTTAATACCGATGCTTGTTAACTGTTTCTATGAGGCTTTTCCAGAAAGTCTTTTTTGTTCCTTTTCGTTTCTTTTCATTTCGTTTCGTACTTCAGTTGAAAAATAACAATTTCACCAATTGAACTATGGTTTCTTTCATTAGAAAGGTCAATTATTTTTCTGTAAAATAACAGTAAAACGATTTAAAATGTCTTGTCTGGAACGAAAAGACTTTCTGGATAACAATACAACAAAATGCCTTCAGGTTCGTCACGAGGCGATGTGTCTTTTGGAGGATCTCGGAGAGGTCGAGGGAGACAAAGATGGCGATGAACAAGTGACAAGGATTTAAGCAGAAAACAATATTCAATTCAATTTTCTTTTAAAGTCCCATCACAATGTTTCAATTCTGAATACTTTTTGTTAAAATGGAGTGTCGATTCCCTTGAGAAAACCAACGCTAATCTTTCTTTTTCTCTTCAACTCAAAAAATCCATGACTTTCAAGAAAATTCTATTTTTACGCACAATTTTAGCAACTGTGATCCCATTGAGTTGTTCAATTTTTCTTCGTGAATTTAATTTATTGCGCAATGCGATTATTTGCTCACAAACCCCTTGCGTTGCCTGAATTTTAGCTTTTGCATCGAACATTTGTTTTGCGTTTAAAAAAGATTTGTGCAGAAAAATGTGATCGTTTAAAGAAATTTGCGAGAGATAAATATATGATTTTATGCAATACGTGAAATTTTTGACAACGTCGTCACATTTGTGATGAAATAAATGACAAAGGATTACAGAGTTTGCTGAGAACCAGAATCAATTTTAGAAAATACACAAATGTGAGACTTGTGATGAGTACCGTAAAGTACCAGTCTCTATCAGGCTAACACCGAGTTTTTCTGGTTGGACTTCTTGTTGCCGTGACGAAGTCGGGAGTGCGCTTGTCTACAACCCACACGGTCCAGGCTCTTCCCCCCCGTAGTGCCACTCTATTTTGTATTTTGATGCACAACTATGTAAGAAACTGTGCATTTAGACAATAGATTGTGAGCACCCCTTTCCTTTGTCCTTTCACTTCATTTTCATATCTTCCTCTCCCGTATTCCACTTTACATTCATCTATATCTTTGGCTTCATAAGTGAGTCAAAAATTTCAAAAATGGAAACCCAATTTTATAATTTCCGCGATACTTCCTGTAGGAAACCTATCGTCTTTCATCAAAATTCCCATCACTTTTCTAGGAAGTCTTTTGAATTCATGAGATTGTCGAACTTGTTGTATATTGAGTTTCCAAATTAGCAAACTTGAAAGAATGGCAATTTTTGAAGTTGGTTGTGAATAGTCAAAACTTTGCTTTAAAAAAGTAGACAAATTCTACAAAGTTCCAACTTTGTCATCGGATCTAAAACTTTTGATCTTTCATCCTGATTTATTTGTCAAATCAAAGATAAACTCAAACTAGCAACTAACTTTCGCCATTTCTATGTACTCAATGTAATGAGAATGATCTCTACTATAAAAAGCCTTTTTTCTTTTTCAAAGGCTTCATTTCCTCACACAGCCTTAATGAAAAAATGGCTTCGTTTTCTTTTCTTTCATCTTTTCTCATTTTCTTTTCCGGGGTTTTCTTATATCTTTTATTTTCTGGGGAGGAAAAGGGAAGACATGTGGAAGAAGACAACGAGGGGATAACTCATTCCATTCCCCCGATATCTTCCCACTAAATCTCTTCTCAATCTCTCCACGGCTTTTCCGACAGATTTGCTTTTGTTCTTGAACTTTAAACCCATTGAATCTATTGATTAAACTGAAGCATCAACTTGTTTAAACTCCTCTAAGCAGTCGGATTTGTTTTTCTACTTCAACCCAAAGAACTTCTCAAACTTCCAGATCTCTAGGAATCAAAGTCTTATACAAAAAATTACTGTAAGTATTTTCCTAGCCTGCCAGTTTTTACTGTGTTGCTTGAGTTTGATATAGTAGTAAAGTCCAGAGTGCTAGTCATAACTAGTCATTTCTCAATCGCACATATATGATTTTCTTTTTGATCTATTCTCCGTTTCAGTTATATGAATGTTTTCCCATTCTTTTTTCTTTTTCACGGATCAACTCGGCCAATTTCCCTTGTATAAGACGAGAGAAAGGGGGATTTCTCTTTGATACTTCAGGGATCTCAAGAAGGGGACGGGAGGGGGTACTGGGGAGTCAAGAAGGGCCCTGGAAAGAGGCCTCCTAATCCCGTCTCTCCTCCATTTTTTCTTCTTGTCTCAAACTTGTACTCATTTCTCTTTATTCACCTATCTTTCTACCTAAAATATTTCTACCTAAAATCTTTCTTCCGATTTTGGCCAAGAAATCAGATCAACTGTCGGAAGTGGCCCTTATTTTTTACTGGTGCACCGGAAATTCGTATTTATTGGAAATAGATTATTTGCGCAAAACTTGTTGACGATTGACTCAATAATTTTTCGAAGAAAAAACAAGTTAAACGAGTTTATCTTAATAGTCTTATCATAATATTTTCTGTCCAGAAAGTCTTTTCGTTCGTTTTCGTACTTCAAATTGAAACCAACAATTGCACCAATTGAACTACGGCTTCTTTCATTAGAAAGGCCAATTATTTTTCTGCAAAATAGCATTAAAACAGGTACAAAATGTCTTATGTTTGGTTTATCTTGTTACTTTCAGAATCTTGTTACTTTATCAATCCTAGGACTTGCCAGACACAATCAAGGCCATTCAGATAACTTTTCTATCCGTTTCAGTTAGTCTTTTCCAATCAGATTGATTGCCCATCTATCAGACATAATCTAGCCAACCTAGTCCAATTCTCAGAACAAACACTTTTCTCATTCTTTCAAATCTTTTTCTCCTTTTTCCCCTTCCCAAAATCAATTCACAAATCCGAATTCTTTTCCCTAATCACATGCACCTCTATTTTACTCGATCTCTTTTCCCAATTGCTCTTTTTTTTCTTTCAAATGAGATGATTCCATTCTGATTTCCATTATTATTTTTCTCTTCAAAGATTTCTCCATAGATATTTCTAGCCAAATCCTTAATTTTCTGTGCCCGTTTCTGTTCAAGCGAAATTTCGTCACTTCTAAAAATGGAGTTATGGGAATTTCTCCTAACTATATCATAAAAAAAGGTTTTCTGTTCGTTGATCTCCATTGTTTCGTAGACCAATTATCGTATGGGAAGTCTCAAAGGAAAACTAGGATATTCTTGGAGCTTTGACGTAACTTGGAGGCAAATTTCAACTATAATATCAGTTTTAGAATATCACCAACTTCACCAAAAACCCAATAACTTTTTGTTTTTCGCAAAAAAGACATTTTTTTCTTGGCTTGGCTTTGTGAAAGTTTTTATTTGAAATCTCTGAAACGTTTTTTCCCGTTTCGAACATTGCATGATGGTGAATTTTTCAGTTTTTTAGGTTTTTACAAAGATCCGCCTTCAAATTTTTGTTTTCTAACTTTCTAAATTCAAAAAAAGCACGTCATACGTGGTTTTTGGTGTTTATTATGATTTAGGTGTAGCTTATAACATCTAAAATTTGACTTCAAAGAATTCCGAGCTTTCTGAAAACTAATGAATTCACTTACTAATCCGTTTCACCAATTTCACGGTAATCTCATTCATTCTCTTCACCGATCAATTCTTTCAAAAAGCGGAGATTGTTACAAAATAGCGTGATTGTTGGGAAATTCGGTGAGAGTAATATAGTCTTGACTTCTTGATGTGAGAGAGAGCGCCGATAATTGACTCACTCCCACTCTCTGTGTCTGCTCGTTGAAATTTGTTTTCTCATTTAGACAAACGACAAAACTTGAAATTTCTAGACATTTCATATTTCTCACAGTAATTCTCCACGAGTCTATTCTGAAGTAAAGCTAGTTTACGATCGTTTCAAAAAGACGTAGTCATCTTTAGCAAAGAAATTGTGAGAGAATCGGTATTGTTGGGTTAAGACTACTCAAAATATGATGTTTTCACTTAAATACGAGAAAAATCTGCATATTACTTTAAACTGTTCAGGAAAATTTGCCTGACATCAAAAAATAAATGACTAAATATTTGTGCTAGTTATCCAAAGCCAAAGATGATCGCAAATTGATCCAAGCAATCGGTCCCGTTTTTAGGATTCTTCAAGGCACCTTTATAAGAAAAATTTTATTAAATGGCTTGCAGGATAATCTAATTAAAAGATAATCCAAGTGAAAGATAATCTAATTTTAAGTAAGCATACCGTTTTTAGCTCATTTATCAAGGTACGTATGGCAACTAACTTGCCTTGTTAAAGTTTAACCATCATTAATCCAAATTGCACCTTTTTTAATCCCAATTTCTTAGAAAAACTCTCAATAGCCTACCTTTTCCCTACAAGATAATCATTTTATGAAGAAAACTAGTAAAATTCATGCTTCATGCCTTTCATGTCGAGAGAATTCATGCTCAGTTACCTTTCAATATGCGCAATTTTCTCTCGAAGTTCCACTCCACTTTTTTAGTTTACTTGCTGATTACGCGTGCTATTTAAACGTTAGATAGATTTACGATAGATTATAGGATAGCTTTTAACAGCTTGTTGGAGGTTGTTTAATCTTTTTTTGGTTTATTTTTGTTATCTATCCAACGCTTAAACATAACAAACGCACAAATCAGCAAGTAAACCAAAAAAGTGGAGCGCAACTTCAAGAAAAAATTACGCTTATGGATATCTTAGTAGTTTTTTAGAAAAAGTGAAAGGTAACTGAGCACGAAGGCATGAATTTTTCTATTTGCCTTTTATAAATCCTTTTCTTTTTCCTTTTTCTTTGTATTTTGTAGAGATTATCCCCAGCTTTTTACATCATATCTCATCAAGGGAAAGACAAGGAAATCCTCTTCAAAAATTCCCCAAAAAAGAAACCAATATTTTTCTTATGTTGAGGGTTTTCCTTTATCCGATTCACTCAAATACGTCTCAAACACATTGAAAAGATTTCCCATTTTTTGCTTTTCCAAAAATTCTCTATTTGTCGTCATATTTTGTCGGGATTTGTTGGCTTTCCTCTGAGATTTCACCCCTTTCCCCAATTCATTTCTCGTTAAATCCTCCTCAATTGAACTGTGTTTGAGATATTTTTTTTGAATGTAGAATTGGATAAGTTTTATCTTGCATCGATTGTGCTTTGAGATGTTTTTCATGTGTTGAATTGAACTCATGAAATACTGCTTGTCACCCATTTGTCTTTCTGTAGTTCACTTATAAGCAAACAGAACTTGTAACTACAGAAGGACCAAAGGACAAGCATTCCTACTTATCAAATACCAGATTGTTGCTATTTAATTTGGTATTTGATATAATAAATCTGATAAACTTGCCAAATTGTACCTGCTATTCATGGGTGATACTTTTTGTAAGTAGGAGTCGCTCTACTGGAAGAGTACACTTATGAGCTTAAGCTTGAGTACAAGATCTCATATTTTTTTCAGTCACTATTAGTATATCTTTCTGTTTCTTACCCTGGCTTTTCTTTTTATCTTCATTTTGTCTTTTTATCTTCATTATTAAGCCTTAATAAAGCTCTCTATTCAGGAAACATTCACCGATAAAGCGAGAGCACAAAACAGGCGCTAGGAAGAAGTGTTTGTGTGTGAAAAGTGGCTGAGAGAAATGAGGAGATCCGGATGAAGATTGAGAAGGGAAATGATGGGAATAAACCCAGAAATCGGCAGCAAATATCGACTTCAACAAGGGCTTTATCGAAATGGTGGCCATCAGTGTGGAGATTCGTTGGGTTCATCATTTTCCCACTCATCCTCTTATCAATTCTTCCATCGGCTTTTCTTTTTGTCGATGCTCATCCAGTGAACAGGTTGGTGCATCTAGCAAAAAAGTTATTTTACCCGTTTTATCTGACAACGGTGCTAGTTTCTAGACATCTTTAGAAAAGCTTGAAAGACTCTAACAAGTTATAAATCGGTAGAGCCAATTTAAAGATTTATAGCAGACATAAAATCTATACAACACTAATAGCAAAATATAATCTTATATTCAGAGTGATCTCGATGGTCCCTCCAACAATGCCGATCATTGTCGACGATTCACTAAAAGAAGAAACGGATATCGAGGGACCAATTGGACCAGAAGGGGAAGAAGATGAAGTACCGGAAAGAGAAGAAAAGATAGATAAAGAAAGGAAAGATGTTCCCGATGAATGGATTCTTCATTCAAGACATGAAACTTCTCTACTCGAACTCGATGATTTGCCACCCTATCCCCAGAAACAGAAATGCATCTACAGTGTGTGGGTTTTTCAGGAAAAATGGCATAAGTTGACAGTTTTGTGATGACTGTATTGGCTTGGAAATTAAAATTACTCAAAAACTAATAATGAATTCAAATTCTCTATCCCAGAATGCCTCCGGTTACAAATTTTCAGATCCACAGCTAACATTCTGTCGTTCGAAACGGCAGCCAAGTCAAAAATTAATTTGTCGTGAATGTGTTAATAAGATGCCAGAATATCGCCACATTCATGTCTTAAGTTCCTCAGCCAAAGTCATATAAATAAGTTCCAATTAAAGCCAAGAGATCTAGTCGACTCAATACTTTCATTTTTTGGTATCCTGTATGGCTTTACAGTATCTTTGCGACTAAATTGTAAGCAAGGAAAAAAGTGATTGAATAAACGACTTAAAAGAACCTATTGCTAATGCTAATGCAATTTCAGGTGCTCAGAAACGACGTTATTCACTTATCGACGATGTTGCAGGAATGATATCTACTCGTGTTGTTGGTTCTTTCGCATGTGGGTCATGTAAGTGATTTTGAGCATATTAATCTGGAGAGAATTCTATGAAACTATCGTTCATGTGACTCTGATTAGTCGAAAGGTATGCAAGTTACCAGATTTCAGGATTTTTTCAAAGTTTCAGGATAAAATTGACCCATTTATCAGTCCAAGGAAGCAGTCTTGCTTTAACTACCGATTTCGTACACAATATGGGGTTGAAACTAGGAAAATATAGAAGTAATTTAAAACTTTAAGCTCTGAAAAGCTGAATGCAACCAAAGATCAACAATGATTGTGCATTTCCAGAGTAGTGTTCGGTATCTTCGCTCTGAAGCTCTTCCTCACGATTTTCGTCTCGTTCTTTCGCTGTGTTTGTTGCTAGAAACCTAAGTCCTTTGAGTCAAATTTTTCTTTTTCCTAAATTTAGATTCTTTTCTGTGTTTGCCGCTACTTTATCACGTTTTGCCCTTTCAAAACACTTTCTTACAACGAAATTCGCGCAAGTTACACAAGCTAGTTTCAAAAAAGATAAAACTTTTGATGAAAGCGATTTGAATGAGATCACGAATAAAAGAAAGAATGGAAGAATGCCGACGACTTGAAGATAAAACGAAATACCTGAATCTTCAATCTTGAACCCATTTTACGTTAAACGCTTGAATGTAAGTTGTACAGAAGCATTGAATTATATTGAATTCTGTTGATTTTTACGGGTTTATGTATTGCTGCTGAATATGTATCATTGATGAAATAAAAGATAGAGCAAGCAAAGCACCTAAATATGTAGAATTGATGTTCGGTCGCACAAAGAACACTTTATGGTCTCTTTACAAAGAAATTCCAACTCTCGCGTAGTTCCCAGGTATTTTGAAGGGGTCGTCACACTTTCAGGGCTTATAACTTTGTCCAGAGATAATATTTTTGTTAACTTTTTGTATCATTGTACAGAGGACATTTCAGGCTTCCAAATAGAGCTTGACTGGATTTTTCATTCCCATGCAAACAAGGTGACACTGTAACGGTGTTTGCTGCTACTTTATTAAGTACTTGCAAAAGAAACTGCGAATTATAACCAACATTTGAACAACCCAAAAATCAATAAGAAAACAACTTTATTCCAAAAGATATTTGCCATTATCATCACCTATGTTCTTACATTTTTTGCGTAGACTTCGGATGTCTGAGCTTGACTGGATTTTTCATTCCCATGCAAACAAGGTGACACGACATTCGAGTTGGATAGGCCTCATTTGCTCAGAGTTGGCTCTCATTTTCTTGGATTGAACCGGTCGGAAACCCACAAATCACATCTTTAATTAGGAAATACCAACAGCTGCGCAGCCGCCTATTCGGCTGCAGTGCGCCAGATTTTCTAAGGCACTATCAAGAAACAAAATACTAAAGCGTTTCAAAGATCCAAAACCTGAACCCAAACTTTAGCTTATGTCGCTTTAGCGTTGAATCATTGTTTCCTGTAATCAATGCAATATGATTGTGTTTTAATACCCATATTTATTTTCACAAGAACACACGATTAAAAATGAACACGCACATTAAAAATGAACAATTCAGTAATACGTCACTTCTGAAACATGAATTTTCCATTGAGTCTTTGTGTATTTGAGTCCCATGTCTTCCACCTCCATCTTGAACTCCTCGAAAGTGACATCGTCAGATCCTTGGAATTCGACTTTCTTTTTCTCGAGCACCAACTTCAAAGCGTCCAATTTGATTTGATTGAACTCGGACAAAAACTCCTTCAGATCCGTCACAACCGATGCCACTTCGGCTTTCGATCCCTCGAAACCGTGTTGATGGAACCTAAAATTTTTTCTATTAAAAATACACAAGCGTTAAGCACGAAGAAATAACTTGGAAATAACCTTTCGCAATGTATGAAGAGACGCAGGCCACATTCAGCAACGGCAGGCGACAAAAGCGATGGCTTCTTAAAAATCCATTCAGCCATTTGTCTGAGCGAGTTATCGCTTGTCAACTTGTATCCCGCCTCGAGACAGCGCTTCTTGAAAAGACATGCCATTGTGGCCCATAGCTTAACAAAAGTTATTTAAAAAGAACAAATCGTCTGACCTTTTCGCATGCCTTCTCCAGATCCGGCGGCGAGTCGTTCAAATATTTTTGCGCTGCTTCAAGGAACCCTTCCGCATTGTAGTGTTTCACTTCGTTCTGAAAATAACCTGTATACTCACAAGATTGTACAAGTTTTTAATGATCTCAAAATAAAATAAATACCTTTTGAGTTGCAGCAGGAGCAGTTTGAAGGGCGGGCTGATCACTAATCTTCCAGGGTTGGCTTGCCGCCGTGGCCGCCATCAAAGCCTCCTAAATGTTACTAAATTTCGAGACGTTTACTAAACTTTACCAAATTATTGCGATCCTCCTCATCCGCCAGCGTAATGGACACTTTATGCTCCCCAGAAGACAAAAAGACTTTCTTTTGGCTCATTCCTCCACGAAGACGAAGCACGAGATGAAGCGTTGATTCCTTTTGAATGTTGTAATCCGAAAGAGTACGACCGTCCTCCAGCTGTTTGCCTAAAATGAAAAACATTAAGTGTGGAAACCTTTTAAATATAATTAACGAAGCTTAAATAACTAGTAACTTTATTTGTTTTCTCAACTTTCATGGCCCCGACGGAACTATGAAGAGATAAGGAATATACCATGGCGACCGGGCATCTTCAATAGCGGAAGCGCCCCACAGCCTTATTTTTTAGGATTCCGCAAAAAGAAGCATATTAAATGTTTTCCTTAAATTGCAAGTAGAAATTGCTCTGCAAGGATCCATCATTTTTGTAACCAGTTAAGAACCCAAGAAAAATAGAATATCTGCGAAGATCAGACGTTGTTGATCTGGTGGGATTCCCTCCTTGTCCTGGATCTTTGCCTTGACGTTCTAGATCGTGTCGGAAGCCTCCACCTCCAAGGTGATCGTTTTTCCAGTGAGCGTTTTGATGAAGATTTGCGTGTTCCAGAAAAAGAAAAGTGTAATGAAGAACGCTAAGACACTAACGGACACTAAAATGTGAAAGAGAAAATGATGAAAATCAAAAGAAAAGCGTCGAATTGTTTCGAAATGATGAATAAAATGGCAAAAGGCTCATTCAATACTGATAGATCAATCGATGACCGCGACTAGACTTGACTATCGAGAGTTTATCGATATCGAGATCTCGATAATTTTTCCAAAATCTGTAAAAATCGTAAAGCCCAGGTCTGCGATATCGACAGTCGTATTCAGCGCATCGAATTACCTCGAAATAAGCTTCACTTAAAAGGATTTGACAGAGAATCACCTAAAGTTTTACCATTATTGAAAAGCTTATCGAGAACTCGATAGTCAAGTCTAGAGTCAGATAGCATGCAAAACCAATAAAAAAAACGGTAAACTCACTCATCGAGGGGTCCGATAAGTACTTATCGATATCGAGATCAATAATGGTAAAACTTTAGATGATTCTCTGTCAAATCCTTTTAACTGGAGCTTATTTCGAGGTAATTAGATGCGCTGAATACGACTGTCGATATCGCAGACCTGGGTTTTACGATTTTTACAGATTTTGGAAAAATTATCGAGATCTCGATAAGGTCTCGATAGTCAGGTCTAACCGCGACGCGGACGCAGAGCGGGAAAAGGCGGTGAAAAGAGCAGAAAATAATTTGAGTCAATCAAAATGAGTGCAAGTGTTTATCATCTGTTTTAAGATTTTAGTAGTTAAATTATAAAATATCCAATGGGAATCGCAGAGAAAATAATTCGAAGTTCGACATTCATACAAAAATGAACGAGATTCAATGAATTTCCGCCCGCTTTCAAGGTTGTAAGCTATATTTTTTGAAAATTCAATAGAGAAGCGCGATAGTAAATAAGTATTTGTTAGTTCAAATATTAAAACATGGAAGACAACGAAAATGGCAATTCGTAAAGTTCAGGTCCATGCTTTTTAGAAAGTTCGGGGTTCATGTTGAGAAAGTTCAGGATTTATTTTTTTGTTTTCTTTTCTTATTGCATCCAAACGAGTAGAAAACACAGAAAATGGAGCTCCAACACTGTTTGTTGCGCTTTACTCTAGAAATCGGGCATTTTTATTCCAGCGTGGGCCACCTATGATTAGAAAACCATTAGAAAAGATAAAGGAATAAGCTAAAAAAAATTTGACTAGCTATCATGGATGACCCACACTAGAATGAAAATGCCCGATATAAGAAGAAAAGAAAACAAATAAATAAATTGAAAAAAGACTAATAAAAGCTCAAAAAAAACAGCTTTTGTGCACCAATTTCAATAATTTTCTATTTGTTGGGATAGAATGTGGTGAAAAAATAAGGAAAAACGTGAGCAAAGATAAAAAGTGGAGATGAACTTTAAAAAAATAGCTGAATTGCTATAATTACTATCTTTGAAGAAAACGTTAGGCAAAACATTTCAAAAAGCATGAACCTGAACCAAAAACAATAAAGCCTGAACCTTTTCGGCATGAATCCCGCACCTGAACTTTACGAGTTGCCAACGAAAAGAGGAGAAAAAATTGGGCTGGAGAAGGTAAAGTGAATGAAATGATTTTTCGCTCGTTAATTCTCGGTCTTCAAGCGTTAATTAAGCTTCATAATATTCAGTGAGGAAGCGGGAATTCAAGAGGAACGTTAACGATTAACACCCTATAGTTTTCGAGTGTCCCCCCAGTATCCCCCTTTTTGTCCCCCTCGACATTTTTTCGCCATTTTCAACTATTTTGCGCAAATTTTAGCTACGCGATAGTGTTTTTTTTTGTTCCCGTAAAACACATACAACTAGAACACTTCCATCCCAAAATCTCTTGATATTTATCGTAGTACTCTTGATAGTACATTTATCTCTTGGTTTAGTTTAGGGGGACAACTGTCTCCCTACTTTTTTTTGCACTTTTTTCTCCTTTTTGGACCCCAAGTAATGCTTTTTTTCTAGAACTGTTAAATGGACAATTTGCAAAAGTGCAAATGCGTTGAGGGCACACACAAGGCCGGTTAGGCCCAACAACTTCGCAGTTCGACTCGTGGGAAAGGTATTATTTTTGAACTTTATACGATTTTATTAAACTTTTGCATATTTTTGTTTCTTCTGATTTACAAAGTACAGTTGAACTTCGATACAACAAAACGTTTGATATAGCGAACACTATTTTTGGTCTTAAAATCTTAAAATACTTTTTGATACAACAAATACTTCGATATAACGAACTTTTTGGCCGGTCCCTTGAGGTTCGTTATATCGAATTTCGACTGTATGCTTTAGGAAATTTCTACGTAACACAAATGTCGACTCGACAAGGAGATCGCCGTTACTGCCGCCATTGTCCCAACACGCGCTACAGCGATAAATCCGGACGTGTTTATGATCACCTGTGGACGCACTACATGACGACACACTGCGACAAATTAGAGGAATTTGTGCAAAATGAAACTCGGCGGCCAATCGATGTGCAATTTCGAACAATCACGGATTTTAATAAAATTTTTATAAATAACGCTATATGTGCCTTTGAAGCTGATTTCAGTTGATTTCTTTACGTTTGAAATATTTTTGTTGCCTAGTGCACTCAATGTTATAAGAAAAAACCAGTAAAATTTAACAATTTACTGTTCTTTGTTTAGCTATATTGAATTCTGTTGATTTTTACGGGTTTATGTATTGCTGATGAATATGTATCATTGATGAAATAAAAGGTACAGCAAGCAAAGCACCTAAATATGTAGAATTGATGTTCGGTCGCACAAAGAACACCTCATGGTCTCTTTACAAAGAAATTTCAACTCTCGCGTAGTTCCCAGGTATTTGCATATACAAGCAAGGCGACACGACATTCGAGTTGGATAGGCCTCATTTGCTCAGAGTTGGCTCTCATTTTCTTGGATTTAATTATCCAATCAAGCTCTATTTGGCATCATTTGGAAGCCTGAAATGTCCCATGTACAATGTTATAAAAAGTTGACAAAAATATTATCTCTGGACAAAGTTATAGGCCTTGAAAGTGTGACGGTTCAAAATACCCAGAAACTACGCAAGAATCGGAGTTTTTTTTTGTACCCAGGGATTTTCCGGGTCGCGGACCCTATTGACGGGATTCGTTTGTTGTATTTCCAATCCAAATCTCTAATTTGTGTTGATCTTGAGCGATTTTTCCCGTATTTTAGCAGGAAATGCGGTAGAACCCATAAGAACTGGAAAGGGAAACGTAAAAAGTGGACTCTATCGTTGTTTCAGGATACATACGTACAAATATCAATAATAAGTTGGATTGTATTTGTTAAAACGCCTCAATGTGCCCGCTTTTCAGTGCTAACGCTCTGAATCGATTTTTTTGCTAGAAGCTACGGTTTGTATCAAGTATATTTGATTTGGCTCATTTCAGAAATTTCCCATTCCCAAGCATTCTCGACAAGTTTTTCAAAAAGAAATTGTGGAGGAAGAGTTTGTGGTGACCGAGGGGAGAAAGGGGGAAAGATCCGATGCTTTTTTGTGATTCACTTGAAGGAAAAAGGGAAAACACTGCAAAGGGAAAACGGAAAAGAGAGAAAAGAATCTTTTCTCTATCTTTTCCCCCTTTTCCCCAAAAAAAATGGGGCCGCGACTCATTTTCCTTTCATTTCAAACAAGAGGGGGAAATTTGTGCTTAAACTTGTAGCTTTAGTGGATAAAAGTTGACAAAGCAAGGGAATTGTGCATTATGAACTAAAGAACATTTGACTTTTGCCTCTAGATAAATGATCAGAGGTGGGCTGAATTTAAAAATGTTTGTAAGTATTTTGGGTTAAACATAGCAAAAGCAAATATGAAGAAGCAGCAAAATCAAAACAAAGATCTCTAGTCAAATGGAGTTTTTTGAATTGATTCTTTAATTGAACCAGAAATGAAGTCAAAGTTTCTTAAAATTTACCTATTCCAAATCAGGCCAAATCAGGTCGACTGATTTAAATGTTATTTTTATATTTACCCTATTCTAATTGAGAATAAGGGTTTACAAATGGATAGCCATCAAGCTAACATCAAGATTTCAGGTAAAAAGGGAAACATTCAGATTTCTGGATCTTGCTAGTTCGAAGTTCGAAATTTCCAGAGAAAAACTGTCTATTCTTATTCACTCACATTCATTATCATTAACAAAATGAACTTGATTGTAAGGCTTGATTGTAATTGTAAGGATCCGCTCCACTTTGCTCAAAAACAGTACTGAGAAACAAATCATTGTGATAGTTAAAATTGTGACAGAAACAACTCATTGTGACAGTTAAAAGTAAGGAAATGCTAACCTGATTCTTAATCTACTGAGTTAAAACTTTAGTTGGCTTTTTTATTCATCTCATAGACAGTGCTTATTGACAGACGATGGGTCGGTGTAGATAAAAAATACGTATTTGTATCTAAAACTCCTCTTTTAATCTTTATGCTTTAATAAGATTGAGGAGTTATTACAACGAATAATCTTACCTCCCTGTTTTCTGACAAAAATGCATGACATTCTCAGTGTCATGACAGGTTCAATTTTCAACCAAATCCAATTAGTCATTGCGGTGAAGAGTCAGGTTGAGAGCTTTTTACCAAGTTGCAATTTTGATAGAAGTTTAAAGAAAAGAAAGGCTGCAATAGCTTACAGAAAAATTTTACAACATTTACAAGCATTTTACAAGCGCTAAACAATGAAAATATTAGGCTGTCCAGAAAGTCTTTTCCTTTCCTTTCCGTTGAAAAATAAAAAATTCAGCAATTAAATATGGTTTCCTCTAAATAAAAAGTGTTTGTTCAATTTCCCATCTTTTTAAGTTTTTAATTCAATTTCTCGGTTCACTTTCAAGCACAAATTCGAGAGTGAAAACGTGTTTTTCGTAAAAATCTATAAAAACCTCTACAAAGAAATTGGCTGCCTCATTTTCTCTAGAAATTTGACTATATACCAAACTCTTTGTGCTCTATCTTTTATCTATTGACACGAAGATAGGTTTCCGTAGCTAAAGCGTCTAAACCGAATCATCGAGCCGTCGCCCTTTTTGACTACCCGACTTCACGCTCCCAAAAAAAGCTAAACATAAGGGATTTTTTACCTGTTTTAATGTTATTTCGCAGAAAAATAATAGGCCTTTCTAATGAAACAAATCGTAGTTCAATTGGTGCATTTGTTGGTTTTAAACAGAAGTACGAAAAGGAACGAAAAGACTTTCTGGACAGTCTAATACTTCCAGTTGATTTCTATGCATTGCCAGGTCAGTTAAATTTTCCACTAAAGTGTGTTTACTAATAGTTGCAACTGACTGTGAGTAAAATCGCACTCAGCTCCTTTTCAAACGAGTTATGGCATATTTGGCAAAGTAGAAAAGTAGAGGAAATCTAGAACGTGAGAAACGTGTAGATCATTTTCAGTGAACAAAGATGAAGCTCTGTTTTCGTATTGTCAAAAATTTCCTAAACAGCGGACTACGGTATTAACGCTTTTGTTCTTTTTGTACTTTAAAGAGATAAAAACCGCAATCTAACAACTGAAAGAGATAACTCGACTGTTGTAAGCTCAAACTACTTTCTTTTATCAAATCATTACTTTGAGAGCTGCGGATCGGCCAAGATCTCATCCAGTGAGCAGTACGATTGAGTAGATAGGCTAAAACTTGACTGGAAACTGAAAAGATTTCTTCGGATTACTGTAGCTGGACCGAGCTACAGTATCCTGGGGTCATTTATCGATTTTTCGTGGCCTCCCCCTAATCTTTTGACTGTCTTTCCGACTACACGTGTATCTATATCTAAACTTCAATTACATCTAGCCATGTATACAACTAGAATTGATTGGATTGAATGGATAAACTCTAGTCACATTCCCTGTCTTTCTCCTATATATGAAGGGGGGAGGGTTGTGGATGGGGTGGAAAGGAAGGGGAAGGGAAAATGGAATGGATCGATCACTCCACTCGTTTCTCTGCCACTCTCCCCTTTCATTGCAATCTCTTTCCCGTCACCCCTCCACATAGCCTACTGTAGGTGGACAGGGGTGAAGGGAAAGGAAAAAGGGGAAAAGAGAAGAGACGGCCGCTCTCCCCCCATCAGCCCTTCTTTTCCCCCATCCACCAACCGCCAGATTCCCCGACTTTCCAGCGTCAATTCAACCGTTCACTTTATAAATCCTTTATCGATTTTAATACCATTCGACTCAGCTTGTTTCGCTGTATCGTTTGACACCAATTTTGATAGCTTTCCACTCATTAGGCTCGAGTTCCTAGAACTTTTTCCAATCAATCGATAAACTAGCGCCTTTTTGGTGTCTGATAGTATAAAGTTAGCTCTATTTAAGTTTCAAATTTCAATAGGTGATCTTCAGTTTGAGACAGTTAAACAGTGATCGGAAATGTTCAAACTCTTCCCGCATCGCTTCTCTCTTTTCATAGTCAGCTACGGGGGGCAGTATATCGAAAAGGGGTAAGGGGGGAAAGAGAACGAGAAAGAACGAGAAAGAACGGGTGGAAAAGGGTGAAAAGGGGTTCTCCGTCTCTTCCCTCATCCCAATATTTCCCAATTTTCTTTTCTCTTTTTCCCTTTTCTTCTATCTCCAGGCTATGCACTCGCCTATGGACACGAAATGACCATCTTCTCCTTTTTTTGTCTTTTTTTTTTGCCTAATTTGACCACCAGTTATGAGATAGTTTCTGATAATTTGGGCCTTTGATTCGGTTGCTATTAGAAATGGGAAAGATCTGTAGAGAAGTATAATTTGAGAATTTTTGCGAACAAAAGATTGAGCTTGAGCTTTTGAGTGATTAGTTTCAATCTAAATAAGTAAAATCTATAGAAAATTTAGGGTAAGATTTTAAAATTCAAGTTTTTTATGTGAAAATATTTGGAAACGTTTGAGTTCAATAGTTTTCAAATGCTCAAAGGTTGCCGGTGGATAGCTTCCTTTAATCTACAGTAAGTATACTGTAGTATAGTTTATAGCACTGCTGATAGCATGCTCGTAGCTGGATCACCTAGAGATTCTTAGAAATAACTTTTTGAAAGAAATGAACTAGATCTAATCCTTAGCAAAGCCAAGCCAACAATAAAGATTTATTCACCAAGACGCAAAAATTGGCGCAGAAATTTGCCACTGGCAACAGTTTTCCATGGTGGTCTTTTTCAGATCATTTGCCTTTTCTCAACACCATCAAATTTAATCAATCTTTCTCAATCTTAAACAAGTTCTTTTCAATTCCTGAATACTATATCCTTTGGAGATTCTATGTAAATCTCCTTACGAACATTTCACTCTTTCTTTCCAATGAGATCAAAGAAAGCGGTTGTAAAACTCTGAATACTGTCTTAAGCCGCCAAATTACCGCTTAGAAAACTGTTGAAAACGATTCTTTCTTAATTTTTTGATTAAAAATAATCTTTGCCCAAAAATGACAGTTTAGGGGGATGATAATTGAGGGCAAATGGTGACAGAGGAAAAGATTCCTGTCTGAAACTGAAGGAGGACCCAAATCGGGCCAAGGGAAATAGCCATCTGGCCTTTCCGCTTTCCGCTCCTCAAAAGGGTTTCCCTTTCATTACCTTTTTGTGGCAAACAGAAATAAAAAATAAAATCACTTTTTCAGCTTAGCTTAAACGTACTTTGAGCTCAAAATAAAAACACTTCTTTACTCTTTCGTCTTTCGGAATCTTTTTATTGAAATTTTTATGCTTACAGTTAGAATTGGGGATGTTAGACGTACTTTATCGTTCATTCTTGATTCAAAGAGTCAAAAACTAGTCTTTTTCTCAACTGCTTATTTTCTTACTATCAGATTCCACTTTTTGGTACTTTTGTACCCAAATGCTAAGTGCAATGCAGTACTTTTAGCTTAACATGGATATTTAGAAATGAAACTTGTTAGGCTATAGTTGTAACAACTGTCACCAAGTCAATGCAAATGCAATCTTAAACAATGCTCAAACTACCGTAAATAAGCATTTCAAGTAAGTAAAAGTTATTTAGTTATTCAGTTAAAAGCAGCGTTGTAAACCGTAAAGCAGTTCATTTCCTCATTTTGCCCATTCTGTCTCTGTTTTTCCAAATTTTTATTCAGTAAAGTAATCTTAAATCATTTTCCATTGGTTATTGTTCTCTTCCCTTATTGTTTTTCATAAATTCGTTTTAATTACCCAAATTCGATAAACGAGTCATTCAATTTGGGAGCTTTCAACTAGATTCAACCCCAGTCATTGCCTTATCTGATGCACACAATAGTTCTAGTACGCAAGAATAATATAAACTTGCATTAAAGCGCTCAAAAATACCACTTGTATTCTTGCTTCATTCATTTCTCTCATCATTTTTCTTACGCTAACTATCTTCTTTTGAAAACTTATCCAATCAAATTGCAGATATCAAAGAGAAGAAACAAAGAAACTCTTCTTTTCCTCTCTTTTCTCTTTTCCCATATGAGCTGTGCCTTGGCGGCCCGTTCGCCGCACGTTTCTCCGCACAAAATTTCACCACAACAGGTAAGATTCTATTTTGAATTTCAAGTTTTCTTTAAATTCTAAAGTCAAATTGTAGGGCAAGCCTAAAAACAAACGACATAACATGTTATTTTGGAGAGTAAAGTGGAGTAGGCGGGTGTCACGAGAAACAACAATAACAGAGAAAAGAGGAGGATTAGGGCTTGATGAAATCAGAACACATTTTTGTGTTCAAATCATTCAGAAAATGCTTTTGAACCTAAATGTTATTTAGAATTTAGTGTCCAAAGATTTCAATCTCTTGTCCCAATAGTATACCAACAAAAAAGCCTCTAATAATGCGTACTGTAGTTGAATTTGACTTGTAATTGAAAGAATAAATAGCGCAAAAGATGGAAATTGGTTAAATATTTTCATTTAGCATACTGCAGTTGAATCAAAGAAAATCTTTAGCATAGATCAAAATTCTCTTGTATTAGACATGGCTCTGGCTCTGGCAATTCTACAAAAAGCTAGATTAACATTTGTTTACATTCATTTCTAGTGTAAAGTCAAGCTTTGTTCGATAATTTTCTTGGGCATCTAGTTTCAATGTAGTTTCTTATTTTAGATGGATGAAGACACCCCGTCAACGTCATCGATGGGGAGACCCCATGAGAGCTCTCCCGCACAATTGGTCTCATCACTTCTACCGATTCAACCTTCACCAATTCTCTCAGCAACAGTCTTATTAGAAGCTTCATCAGCAGCTCAATCATCTCTTCTTTCATCAGTTCCTTCAGCAACCTCTACTCCAGCCACAACTACAATCTCTCCTCCGAAAATCATCACCGAGCTGTCCCATCGTCCGAATTTGCCCAGCACGAGCGCGCTTAACGGGGAAAATCATAGGTATTCATTTTATTCTTCATTTTATTTTTCATTTTATTCTTCATTTTATCCTTTCACTTTCAGAAACGAGAATGGAGAGGGCCAACGTTTCATCCGAAGATCGATCGCCGCGAGAAGAAGCGATGCTGAAAGGGCACAGGTTGGAAATGAATAGATTTGGCTTAATCTTGAATACGTGAACGATAGAATTACACAAAAGATAATTAAGACTAATACACCAAACAAAACAAATATGCAGCTTAAGGCTCAAGCGCAGGCTGAGGGTCAACGAAAGAGTCTACGAAATAAAGGGGAAATCGTCGACGCCAACTATGTTGATGTCGCGGATTTCAAGCAGCGTAAGTCTGATACGAAAAAACGAACTTATAGAGTTTATATAAAATTCTAGATTTTTAAATAACTAAAACTATAAATGGACGTTTTAATTCCTCAAATTTAGCTCGTCCTGTCAATCCACCAATCGGCCTACCACGTCGTGCCTTTCATCCACCACAAACCACTTCTGAGCAAGATAAACAAATTGGTAGTTTAATTGTTAAAGCTCTAGTGCATAATTTTTTGTAGAGCGTCTTAAAATCCATATGGTTGGTCCAAAAGGCGCAAAAAATCGAATGATGAGCTCGTCGGTTCACGATTTCGATGAAGGAGCGAAAAGGAGTGAAATGGAGAGAGCAAGGAGAAGACTTTCAGCCGCGATTCATATTGGGCCAGAGTTTCAAGTAAGACTTTTTAATACTTTGCATTTCGATAACCTCAGTCTAAACAGCCAATTATATGTCAACTGCCTTTAATTTAGGCTAAATTCCCCGAGTTGGACCAATTCGTCGAGCCACCGCAATCGATGCGCGACGCCGAACCCGATCGGGATCAACTCATTTGGAGAGATCGAGATGGACAATCGGTTAGATTTCATGATATAATAGTTATTAATAATATTTTAGCCATTTAGCTTTTACATTTCATTTCTTTTCCACAATTCTAAATTATTCAGGTACCCGTGCAAGAGCTTGATGATGCGTGGACGGCAATCAGACGGCATTGTGGAGGGATCATTCCAATGGATTCGGTATGTTGAAAATTTAAGCTATCCAGAAAATCTTTCCGTTTCTTTTTGTACTTTCGTTGAAAGAAAACAAATTCACCAATTAACTTTTGCTGGTTTACTCTAAATAAAAAGTGCTTATGGTTAATTGGAGAATTTGTTATTTTTCAATGAAAAGAAACGAAAAGACTTTCTAGGCAGCTAGCAATAGAAGCAGATAAAATATAGTTCTAAGTTATTTTTATAAAATCTATAAATTCTAGATGTTACACCGATTAATGCTCTCTCATCACTCGGTCGACGAAATGCTCATCAACATCGAGAAAGAGTTGTATGAGGTGAGGATTCTAGAGTAATATTTCGATAAAATCTAGTTATTTGAATACATAAGTTGATCCTGAGCTTATTCTTAACATTTATTAATATAATCCTTATTATTCTAAGCTTAATTTCTTCACTTTTCTAGTTCCTACCCGCTTCAATGGATCCCCTTTCTGAGGGAGAACGGCGCGAGTTTGAGCGCCATCTCCGCCGAACCGGACACGCTTGTGCAAAGAAATTCCGAATGATGCAAGATAAATTTGTAAGAATAAAAAGAAGATTTTTGTAATTTAAAAGATAAATTTAGCTGAAAAATCATTGGCTTGGTGAAATTGTGGCTTATTATTACGAGACGAAACACCGGGGATGTCCCACGGAGGAGTACAATTTGTGCACGTGCCGAGCGTGAGTTGTTATGTAAAAATTTAGCTTTTTTAGTTGAAAAACGTGTCTGGCTTGAAGATAATTTGAATTTTTATGATTTCATGTTTTAGCCTGGATCCCGAGGAACGCTATCATGTGTCCCGAGTCGAATGCAACAATTGTACTCAAGAGTTTTGGCCTGGCAGAAGAAAATGCAAGCTTTGCCCTCCATGTGCCCTATATTTCAAGTAAGCCAGAAATCCAGGGTTCACTTTTTGCCTTTATAAACACGCTTGTTCAAGTACACTGGATTTTTCATCAAAAAAAGAAGAACCCAGTAAGCTAGAGAGATCGCGTTTGTGTGGCACAGAGTACTATGCTGGCCAAGTTAGATAACTAGACTAAAGCTTTAAAGTTGAAAATATAATTCGTATATTTTCAGAAGAACCCACTCAACAATTCATCGGCCAATTCGAACCCCGATCACTTTAGAAGAACAGGGAATTGTGAAGAAATGGAGGGAAGTCGAGGAGCGACTTGGCGTTCACAAAACGTTATCTCAAGTGAGTTAGATCTTGAAATATAATATTTGTATATAGATAAGGAAAATAATATTTATTTAATCTATAACAATCTAGTTTTCATTCCAGATTCTCGCGATAATGGAAGATCAGAGACAACGAGAGATTCGAAGAAGTGCCGGAGGACAGAATGGTGATGAGGTGACAGATTTTTCTGTAATTATAAATTTTAAGTTAAATAATATAATAATTTTTGTTATTAGATTCTTTACTTATAACATATTATTGATAATTTCTTTCAGATAATACCAAAAGCTCCAATTCCTAACAAGAAGCGGCGACTTAGCTCGGACGAAATCGCGAGACTTTCCGAGAAGAAAAGAATCATCACACAAGAAAAGTGAATGATTTGAAAATATAATTAGAATCATATATAACTATATTTATCTAAATTTTTCAAATTCCAGTTGTCCTTTCCTTCACCCACAAATGAAATCGATCCGTGCTGGGATCCTTGTCGATTTCAACGCCGAGGAGACGATCAAAACGGTTCAAGGTGGGGATTTTAGATTTTTTTCTAACTTTTATAGAGAAAATTTGCAAGGTTTAAGTTTAAACCACCTTATAAACTTTATAACATTACAAAAGTATTTCAGGTATTCAAAAATATGGTACAAAATGGGGAACAATTGCCTGTTTGGTGGGCAGAGAGCCGCACGAGGTTGAGCAATTCTATCACAAGTACAAGGGGAAATATCGGCTGGATTTGGTGAGTGGATTGGAGAAAAAAGATATTTGCAGATTTTATATTGTAGTAAGAACAAGTTGATCAGATTCTTTTTCATCAATTTTGTTTCAGATCAATCAACCGCCAACCCCTCCAAAGCGTGTCGATGCACCGCGATCCTCATCAACTTCTCCCGATGTGCAAGTGAATTCCCGAAAGCGGCCATCGATCCCTGGTGACTCCACGTATTACTCCACCAATTCGTCAATGGTTCTTGCAAAATCCCCAAGAAAAACTCGATCCACAGCTAACACATCGAGCGAATCGATCACTATGCCAATAATCTGATCAACGAAAAGTTTTTTTTTGTTAACAAAATGTCATATTCGCCTATAATTTTTCATCATAAGCTTGAAATTCTCATTTATTAGATCACTCTTTATCCTTTTTTCACGGGTTTATTTGACTATATCTTTATTTTGCCTAGTCATTGAAAGAATCACTTTACAGCACTCTTCTTTATTTCTCGTTGTTATTTTTTTTTCTTCATTGCTGTTTATTTCTCGTTGTTACTTTTTTCTTCATTGCCATTTTTTCCTGGTATTTTAAACTTGATTTCAATGCAGGTTTCATTTAAGGGTTGATTGAGGGCTTATATAATTGTGAGTAAAGTTTTACAAAGGTTTTCAAGAAGTAAAAGAAAACAGTGGAGATGGAGCGGCTCAAATAGCACGCACCTTAACAGTCTTGTCTACACAAAATTGATTTTAAAGTGGTACAGTAGTGTTATCTATGAGCAGCAAAGCACCTTGAAACTTTGCAACTCCATAGGCATTGTAAACAACTTTTTCAAAAACTATGAGATCTCTTGAATAGAAGAAAAACATGAAGCATGGGTATCCGATGTAGGTTTAGGGATTCGGGAGAGAATGCAGAGAAAAGGAGAAAGAGAAGCGGATTCTCTCAATCGATTTCTCTGCATAATGGGCGACTAAACAATTTTTGGGTCAGGGTGTTAGAGTGGGGTTGAGGGGAGAAGAGAGGGGGTAACTGGGTGGAGAGAGGGATACCCTCACCCCTTGCGAGGAGATACCCACTCCACAAAGGGTACTGTATCTCTTTTCCTTTTCACCCATTGTGTGGCCACACCCACACCCCATCCGTCACCAGCAACACTTGAGCACCAATTGGTAGATGTATTGGGCTGTCCAGAAAGGCTTCTCGTTTCTTTTCATACTTCCATCATTTCATATAAGCTTTGTCTCTTTGTAGTCTGTAGTTTGTGTCTTTGTAGTCCTTTGTCTCTTTGTAGTTTGTAGTCTCTCTAGTGTAGTAAATTCCAAAATACAGATCAGAACCAAACTATCAGATTGTCTTTCAAATTGAAATCTATTTTGGTGACCTTCAAGGTTACGTGTGTATTTCGATGGAAAATTGTTTATATAGTCGATTTTATTCAATTATTTTCAATTATTTTCATTATTTTCATTGAAAGTCTCACTTTTTTCACGATAAGAGGACTAGAAAAATTTGAGAGAAAAATAATGGGAGATGAGGAGAAGAAAGGGGAATGGTTGAGGGAGAGATTATCGACCCATCAAATTGAAGATCCCACAATAGTTGGTGAGAGTTCTGAAAGGAGAAGTCAATAACTGGAAAGTAAGATTCTAATTGAGAAAAATCTCAATTTCTGAAGTTTCTGAAGATATTATGACTAGAAAGATAGAATTTTGAAAACTTTACCCTAATCCAGCGTGTGCCGAACAAGTGCACATCTCGCCGATCTCTTTCTTCCAACTGATCGCCCGCGAGCATTGCCGGACTGCTCGACGGGCATTTCGATCAGTGATATATGGCATACATCTGGAAATAAGTTCATTTGTTAGTTTTTAATGGAAGTATGAAAAAAACGAAAAGACTTATTCACCAATCTAATATTTCCATGAGTTAAGTTGCAAATGTGACACCCAATCTGACATAGTAGTCTGACATAAGGCTCTACTCTGGAGCCAATGGAATACGTGTCGGTGCACCTCATTGGTGAGTGTTCATCCGGTAAACGAGAGATCGCTGGTTCGAATCCCAGCGCTGACTATGTTTTGTATTCCCAACCGCAACCCCATAAAAGGGCCAGTGTGTCCAACTCTAGTAAGGGTCAATCGACCCACGAAAGTAGAAAGCAGATTATAGAGCAAGAGCAACCAAACTCTTGATTCACAAAGTAGAAAGCAGATTAAAGTTTGCTTCTTTAGGTACATCCAGCAAACAATTCTCTTACTTGATTCGATCAAAGCAGAATCCGTGCGGGTTTTTCTCCTTTATGAAACACGTCTTCAAACATTGACCGATTGCCTTCGCCGCGTCGGCCACTTTCTAAAGAAATTCTTGGGTTTTATCGAGTCTAAAATAGGAATTGGTTTCATTTCCAATTGCTTTTGAATGGTTTACCGCAATTTCGGGCGAGTTGACGGTTCGGAGGAAGACCTCGGCTTGTTGGGTCACCACTTCTTCAACTCTGAAAAATTTGTGTTGATTGGTGAATTATTTAAAAACTATAAGCTATAAAAAGCTATAAATTCTATAAATTGTAAAGTAATGAAGTTTTCTTTAAATTCAAAATTTCAACCGATCGATGAGAACGGTGAGATCGGCAGAGGGGACACTTTTCGATTCTTTGCCCGGCTCGACACATCTGGAAAGCTTATTTGATAAATAAAATATTGAAAATAATAGAAAACTGTATTATAATCTATAAAGTATTTAAAAATTGAAATATTCTGTTAAAACTGACGCTCTGATATTATTTTGGAAGCATAAGAGGAGATTGTTGACGAATTCCTTTTTCGTCAAGAAACATTGCCGCAACGATTCGGGATCACGCACCAAATCGAACTAAAAATGAAACTAGATATGATTTCTAGAAGATTCATTTTTATTTTAAAGATTCAATTTCATTAAATTTCAAATTCACTCACCCTTCGCACTTCTCGGAAACATGGCTCGAGACACTCCAAAGCTTGCTGTTTAGCCTCTTCAAAACATGAGTTCATTTCCTAAATATTAAATATAAAGTTTCGATTTAGATAGATATAGAGACTTAGATAGATCCATTAGATTTAAGCTGTCAAATCTAAAGATACTTTTCCATACATACATTGCAATTGCACTGTCGAATGTGGATGTTCTTCGTTCGCGCCGAATGGATCACATTGAGAGCCGACGAGGAAACCTGAATTGAATGAATTTGGAATGTATTTGGAATGAATTTGGAATGAATTTGGAAATCAAATTTACAGTATAGATTTATTCCATGAATCCTTTTTATTCAGATTATTGTAATTATGGAATAGAAATTGAACTTGTTTCTTTTAGCTGAAGCCTCTCTCAATCGTCAGCTTCAAAAACTAACCATGGCTTCAAATTTGACCGCAAAACCAATCCCCACTTGAATCAATATCAAAAGAAATAGCCTCATTTTGTGAAATCGAAATCGGTGTTGAGGTAAAATGAGAGCAATTTCAGTGAGCTGATTCGAGACACAAAATTTTTCCAGTCAGAGGAGAGTAGGTGATTAAGATCCGAGAGATTTGAAATTCCTTTTCCACTCCAACCTACTCGTTTTGATTTCTGTGATTTCTGTAATGATTTTGAGAGAAAATCCCCTATTTTGAGAGAAAATCCCTTAAATCTCTTTCCAAAATTATCTTATCTTTTGGCTATCTTCACCCCCGCAACAAACAATGACGAGAGATCTTCTCTTTCTCTCAAAAACACAGGAGAATTTCCCTTTCAAACAATAACAGTGTCTGATCGATATAGTTGCCATCGTATTTTTGTGGCTCCCGAAAAAAAAAATCTCAAATGATTTCAACTGGTTTCTTTTTCTTTCACTTTTCTTTAGAGTTTCTGACGAACTTGCGGAACTTTTCGATAGGGAATGAAACAAGGAAAATAATCGCAGACTTTTATTCTTAATATAGAAATGATCAAAGAAAAAAATGGATCTGAGGAGTTGGCTTTTTAAGCTGTTAATATATATACCGTATTTTCTGTAATAGTAGTGCAGTCTATAATAGTAGTGCAGTCTGTAATAGTAGTGCAGGCTGGAGGGGGGTTGAAAAAATAGTAGTGCGCACTACTATTACAGAAAATACGGTATATAAATACTTTATTCAGGACCTGAGATAAAGTGCGCTAGATTTAAGATTAAAACACATGCATTCATACACATAACACGAAAAGGGCCGATATGAGCAAATTCCTGGATAATTATAAGCAAAACTCTTAAAACGAGAGATAAATGATTCAAATTAGTTTACTTTTTTGTGAATCTTAGTTGATAACTTGATAACAGAAAATCCTGGCTTTAAGCAGAAAGATTTCTTTTGTCAACTATCAATCCAACACTAGTTAGCGGTGGAAAGTTGATCGTGACAACAAGAATTCCAGCTTTAGATTCACTTCTTTGTCCTCTGATCTCAACGTTAGCATCATTTACGTCACTTTGGCAACTGGGTGTATCACAAGATGACCAATACAAGCCATTTTTTAATGTTTTTCTTTCCATTTGACCCTTCACTTTCCATTGCAATCCTTGGATGCCTAATTACACGTCGAGTATCCCTTCTCCTTTCTTTTTTTTTTACTTTTCTTCAATATTCGATGAAAGCTCGCAAAAGGAGAAAATAAATTAGAGAAGATAAGAAAGAAAAATGGCAAAGAAAAAGGAGAAATATATTTATTCGAGGGATGGGGACATCCAAACATTCCCCATCAAGATCCTTGCTCTTTTCAGGTCCGAATTCTCAAAGATCTTCAATAAATCTCTTTTGCAAAAGGTTCTTATTTTAGAAATTATATTTTTTGTGACTCTAACTTCGGAACTTTACTTACTTTAACTACAACATTGGTTTACATTGTGATAAAGTGAAATAGTGACTTTAGACAGTAAAGAAACTTCTACTGTCTTGTACTGACTGCCATCACGCAAAACCTCTTGCTTTCTTTGTAGTGTACTTTGTGTTTTCAAAACACAACCTTTCTGGTGCATCCCATCTGTCCTTATGAAAGGAATGGAAAAATTGCGAACGCTAGAGGACAAATCCGCTTCACTTGAACCCAAAGCACAAACCTCGACTCCCACTCACTTTTTACCCTCTCAAATTACTTGAGGATTTTTGAGAGCTTTCCTCACTAATGAGACTCCCCCTTTTTTTGAGATATCGACAAAAAAAGCAATCAGATGACACTTTCTTTGTCGTACTTGAGTGCTAATTTTAGCGTTTTCTTTTGGCTAAAGAGCAATACTTGTTCAGTGATGGTTTGATTCAAATGTTAGAGTTACACTGTCTAGTACGAAGACTTAGATTTAGATTTGTCAGATTTAGATTCTTTTTCGGTTCAGATCTGATCCAGATCAGGTTTTGGTGGGTTAAAATAATCTCTTTTCAGGCTTGAGTTCCCCGGTTGGTGGCTGGTGCCCGTTTTTCATTTCCTGGACGATTTCTTTTCGAAAAATGTGGAAAAATCGGAGGTGGAGGATGATGATTTATGAAATCTTTCGTTTGAAGAGAAGAAAATTGATGAGGAGGGAAAAAGGGGGGAAAGTTGCTGAGAAACGGGGGTGGAGATGAAGGGGGGAGAGGGGATGGGGACGAGGCAAGACAGCAAGACGGCAACACGAGCCCATCCCGGTGGCCCTTTGGAAAAGAGATTGGAAAGGGGGGAAAAAACATAAAACATTCATTCTCAAGTTATCTTTGATCTTTTTGCAATGGAGCAACTTTACCATTCAAGAAGAGACCTAGCTCGTTACTTACACATTCACACTTACAACTTACATTACAAAACGCCCTAAAATATGCTTATAATTATTTAAAAAATGGCTTACAAAATGTCTTACGCCTGTTTAATTGCCTGTTTAACTTATGGAGATGATTTCTTAACTGATAAGTGAAATCTGGCGCGAAATCTGTTTTTGGATGGATTCTAAATCTGGAGCAAAATCTGGATCCAAATCTGAGGGGGTGGGACAAATGCGATCTTTTTTTGCGCACCTGGACATTTGCGCACCTTTTTTTTTGCTGGAAAAGGCCTTAGGCAAGGCCGTAGAGCTTCGAAAATATTTCCATTCAAGGGAATCGTATGCGTAGATTCCGAATTTCGACAAATCAGACCTCGCTGACACGTCAAATTTGGGCTAAAAGGCAAAAACTGCCGAAAAGCGTTAAGTTGCGTAGTTTTTGCCTTTTAGCTTAAATTTGACGTGTCAGCGAGGTCTGATTTGTCAAAATTCTGAATCTAGGCATACGATTCCCTTCTGTGAAAACATTTTTGAAGCTCTACGACCTTTCCTAAGGCCTTTTCCAGCAAAAAAAAGGTGCGCAAATGTCCAGGTGCGCAAAAAAAAGGTCGCATTTGTCCCACCTCCAAATCTGATTTTTTTTAAGTCGCATAAATCGTATTTTTGAGTCTCGGATAAGCTTGTTTTATTTCTTTAAACGCAAATGAATTTCTTTTAATTTTAAAATCTTTCCATGTATATCTTTACCATATACACTCTTCCATTTGACAATTTACTGTAGCTCAAATCTTGCCAGTCCCATACTTCTCCTTAAATCTTCAGCTATCACATCTCCAAAGTCTATTTTAGACTTTCTCAAACTATTTCTGAAATTCTGAATCTTTCACGAATCACTCTCCTGACCTTTTCTTGAACTTTTTCCCACTCACGCAATGACACCTGTTAGCATCATTTCTCAAATAATTTTCTTTCCCTTCAAAAATCGTTCTATTTCCGATCTCCAATCTTTCTCCAGGTGTTCCCTATTTTGCGAATTCTCAAATTCTCAAATTTCCATATTTCATTTTTTGGATCTAAAAGAACACCTTTTTTAGCGAGAGAAAATCAGGAAGCGTCTGGCATTTGCATACCTCGAAAACTCAATTTACCTATTTTTGAAGAGTTCTCCTTTTTTCCTAGACACTTGTGTTTTTAGTGTGAAACTTCAAGGAACCAAGGATCGACTTGAGTACCCAACTTCATATCATTTCAATACATTTCTCAAGTTCCGAAAACGTTCAGGTTTCCCTAGTAAAATTTGTGGAAATTTCTTGTTTTTTTTAAACTTGTCCAGATTTCTTGGCTCTTTTTTAAAATTACTCACCAGGAAGTGTCCTGGAGTCGAATTGTCGCGTGAAAGCCTCCGTTTTGGCCACATTCGCCCTCAAATTAGTGTCTTTTCACAAAAGTTTTCGGCATGGAAAAAAAGCTGGCAATCAGTGCATGTCTGGACTTGTTTCTAGCTGAAGCACAAGCAAAATAAAAGAAATTTCGGAAATGGCTAACTGGAAATTTAGCCAATTTTGGCTAAGAAAAAAAACAGAGTTACTATCCTTACGGATTGAAAAATTTAATGGATTTTATTGGATCCTGATTTCCCTTTGGAATACATACCCATAAACATTTAGAGTTACTATCCTTACGGATTGAAAAACAGAGTTACTATCCTTACGGATTGAAAAACAGAGTCCTTACAGATTGAAAAATTTAATGAATTTTATTAAATCCTGATTTTCCTTTGGAATACATACCCATAAACATCCAGTAATCACAAAAATACATTTAGTAAACGAAAGAAATTTAAGGTTCATGAAAATTGGTCTAAAGAAACTATTATACTTATCGAACTTTTCTATTCCTTTTCTCTAACCTTAACTGCTACAAATCTTGATTAACTTTTCTATCATCTCAAGGTCTATGATTCTTTTGCAGCCTAAACCAAACAAAACTTTTCTTTTTTGATCTTTTCAATGCTCTTTTTCTCCGTCTGTATCTGCAGCGCATAAAAGCGTTTTCTTTTTTCACAAAAACATGTCTGTTTACATTGTGGAACTTTTCTATTCCTGTTCTGTACCTTTTCCAAAACCTTTTTCTTCTCTTTTAAAGATCTTCGCTTATGATTGTGAACAGGGAAGAGAATTGAGGGGAAAATTGAGACAAAAGGAGAGTGAAGATGAGAAAAGAAAGAGGGAAAGGGATGGCACCTGGAGGGTAAAAATTGGGATAAACGAGGAGAGTTGAAATCCGATCCTCTCACCCCGGGTCCATTTCGAACAGAGGGTAAAATTTGAAATTCTCACTTGTAAAATATTCATGTAACTCTTACAGGAAATTCTATTTAAAGTAGAAACTCGAATTTGTTTTTCTTCCAATTACAACTTTTGATCTTTGTTGCTTTGTGTAGTGGTAGATCCTCGTGATTGTTGTAATGTGATTGACTTGTTTGTGGAATAACAGTTAGCGTTTATCTAGAATATTATCTAGAATATTTATCTAGAATAATAAAGACGAATAAAAGAATTACAATTGATTTATATAAAAAAATATAGAACCAAATGGGCGGGGGGAAAATAAAATGGCACAGATTACAGGACGTTTCTAGTGACAACCTAGACAGACGTAAAAGACGCACT